TCCAGTGATCCGCTACCTCCTCAGGGGGATAGCCCACCAGGAGTCAGAAGAAAATCTTAAATGGAAGCATAGGTCAATATGCACATCGAATTAAAGGTCTTTTTTAGTAGAATACAATGCCGCAAATCGCACTTCAAAAGGTTGATCCTGCGCAAAATGACAGTTGTTCAAAGATTCATTTAATTTACATTGCTATTATACGCTTTCTCCTCAGGGGGCACAGCCCTAGGAATCGGAAGAAAATTGTTAACGTAAGAATAGGTCGATATGCACATCAAATTAAAGGTCTCACTTTTAGATTACGATGCCGTAAATTCAAGCTCAAAAGAATGCCTGAGTAAAAAATGGCAGCCGTTCAAAGATTCAAAATGGCGGATTCAAGAAATCTTTGAACATCTGCCATTTTTCGCAGGATCAACCTTTTGAAGTACGGTTTGCGGCATTGTATTCTACTAAAAAAGACCTTTAATTTGATGTGCATATCGACCTATGCTTCCTTTTAAGATTTTCTTCTGACTCCTTGTGGGACGTCCCCCTGAAGAGTTATTGAATTACTGAATATGTGTTAAAATAGAGTTTTATGCCCTGTAACTTTGTACCAAGTATTGTAGCTCTATCTACATTATTTTTTTTAAATATTAAGCCGTACCCATACTTTTTAATCACCCTGTATAGTAAGGTCATGGTGGAGAGAGAAGTTCTGAGTTCACAAAGGTGACCTTTGCCCCCCGTGACCTTGCTAATTGATACGTAACACAGGGTCAAGGTGAGGTGGAGGTGAAGAGAGAAAGGTGACAAGATCAGCTGTTGGCGTGTGGTGCCGCCACAGAAACTAACCTTCACTTTTTTTTTATTCTTAGCTGACTCAAACAGTAATTCTAACCTAACTCGGGTTTGTAATTGCTCAGATTATAATTTAATTGATTTAAATTGATTAGATTTAATTGTAATTATGTTCAGATCCAAATTTTATTCAAAATCCTACTGCCACGAAAATCGAGTTATCTCTTAAACGGCAAAAAAAGGTAAACAAATATTGTAAAATATATTATAACTCGTTTTTATATTACCAAGAATATTGAGTGTTGAAACAGATTTTCCTCTGATATTTGATCACGCATTTCTTATTATTTTTTAGATCAATTGCAACAAATATTTTCTTAAGTTTACTTTTGAAAATGTACGTTTTGTTAACAGGAATATTTTATTTGTAAATCGCGCTCACAATTTGAACATGCTTTGTCGGACAGTTTGGCTAATGTCATCGAAGCCGACGGGACACGATCGCGAGTGAAAGGCACTTCACTTTCTATCGGATTTTGGCTTTCTATTGCGAAGTTGGGTTTTGACATGTTGTGTAACGACTATTTTCAAGCAGTTGCAAAATCATCAAGTCTATTTCCCCCTCGATATTGGGAATTTTGAAAGTTATATGGCTCCAAAAAGAATTAAGTTACGAAATTAGTAAGCATCTTCCAACTACGTATTTACGAAAAAAGAATTGTATATGAAACCGTGTTTTTGGTAATGCTACAAAACAGAGTATCTTAAAATTGTATGTTTAAGGATCAAATATACAAATGTGTATCAGTTTGGAAGCAAGTTTGCTGTGACTTCACAAAGCATCGCATCAGTAACATTTTGTCAAAACTGGTGGAATATCTCCTTTATTATTTACCACTTCATGGTACCATTGGAGAAAAGGAAAACGTGTGGTTAGCCAGTGGGACTACCGCCTTGTCCCTTGTCTCGCATCCCGTCTAGCTACAGACCAGACTACCGGTGGATCCCCTTGAGGGTAAAGCCTGGGTTGAAATAAAACTGAAATGAATCATTTTATGGCCGACTGTTCATCATATCTTCCCTAATAAAGGCATTTAATCCAAATGTGACATTTTCAACTGATATACAGACATTACTGAAGTGGTCTCTGCCACAGTCTGTTTTGTTGTATTTCAGAAGCAACATTTCTTGTACAACGGTCCAGTTGTCAAGGCAACGGTTTGGAGCGTGAACCAGAGAGGAGACGGTGAACGAAATGTTCCACTGCCGAGCCTCCTCATGACTTTTAAATACCAAAATCCTCACCTTTCTCCAATGACTTGGTTCGTGGTCCCTCGCCACCCGTCAGTGCCCTGTATTTAACTGGACCTCCTGGCAACTAGCGTAGGCCTACCTCATTCAAAAATGCATCGGCAAAGCTGCATGTCTCATAAACATAAACAAATAACGTCACTGGCCTAAAATAGTTGGATTCCTTGCACTGTTTATAATACAGAAATCTGCTAATTGCTGTATTTACTTACTTTGTCGCACGGTTTATACTTTGTCGTACGGTTTATACTTTGGCGTACATCAGGATTCCAACCAAACAAAAAAGCGTGGTTTTATTATGCACGTAATCCGTGTACGCTAGGAAATAGGTTGGCGTTGACAATACTTAAAGATAATAATACTATGAGCAGCTGATTGACTATTATAACTACGATTTAACCTGTAATTTCGTGTTTATAGTTTATATTTTCGTTCAACGCTTGGTTTGAACATAACCTGAAGTGTAGTATTTGAAAGATGAATTATAAGTGGGCCTAACATGTTTAAAAATAATGAACAGGGTGAAAGTGATTGTGAATACAAGGGCGGTCCCAGGGGGGGTTATGACCCCCCTCCCCAAATATTTTATATATAGATAAACTATTATACCAGGGGAACTTTAATAATTTTTATTGCAAATCGTTCTACCAAATTGAATTCATTGTAGTCTTTACACTTGTGGCGAACGAATGGACTAACAAACTCTAACCCAAACCTCGGGATCGTTCACGTCTGACTATTTTTTGTACGTTATGAAAAGTAAAATTCCATACCCCCAGACCCCCCGGTGACCCCCCCCCCCAAAAAAAATATATGTCTAGGACTGGCCTTGTGTGAATAAAATGTTAGACCGGAAATAGCAGAAACTGAAAACATGTTTTATTAAACCTGTTACCTGAAAATAACTATTTCATTAATATTTGAATGGAACTGGCAACAAACGTCCAAACCAGATGTTAATATAGATTCGGTCCAGTGACGTCTTTTGTTTATGTGTATGAACTATACCGCCTTCTGTTCCAATATACATGGATAAAACCAAAGATAAACTCTTAAACCCCATCTCAGTGTATCAGTGAATTTGGTCAGTTAATTAGAACCATTCACAATTTTCCTTTCCTATTGAAATCTTGATTGACTGACGTTAACTGTAAAACTAAACTCTTACATGACATAATTAATTAAAACATGTATCTGAATTGGATTTTGTATGTATTGGATGTATTTTGTTGGAGGTTTCAAAATATAAATTTACCCCGTAGCTGGATCACAACTCATTATTTTACTTTTAAATCAAACTAACACAAACTTATGCAAGTATTTATGGTAAAAGGTGCCGAAAAACACTTTCAATTCAGAAAATATTCAGTAGTCAGCAAAATACGTGTTAATTTACGGAAATATTGTTTTAGGGTTCAAAATTAACACACATAAAACTAATTACTACCGGAATATTCTAAAATACACACACATCCAAAGATATACTGTGCGAGCCTCACAAATAGTCACACATCTTGGATCTTGTTAACTAATGGGGGAGTATCGAGTTAGGTATAAAGGAATATGGGAGTTTCAAATAACTATTCTCTGAGTGGTAAAATACACACACATCCCAATAACTACTCCAGGGCACCTACAATACAAACCATATAAGAGCTACTTTATGAGCACCCAACATACACATACATCCCAATAACTACTCCAGGGCACCTACAATACAAACCATATAAGAGCTACTTTAGGAGCACCCAGCATACACATACATCCCAATAACTACTCCAGGGCACCTACAATACAAACCAAATAAGAGCTACTTTAGGAGCACCCAACATACACACACATCCCAATAACTACTCCAGGGCACCTACAATACAAACCATATAAGAGCTACTTTAGGAGCACCCAGCATACACATACATCCCAATAACTACTCCAGGGCACCTACAATACAAACCAAATAAGAGCTACTTTAGGAGCACCCAACATACACACACATCCCAATAACTACTCCAGGGCACCTACAATACAAACCATATAAGAGCTACTTTAGGAGCACCCAACATACACATACATCCCAATAACTACTCCAGGGCACCTACAATACAAACCATATAAGAGCTACTTTAGGAGCACCCAGCATACACACACATCCCAATAACTACTCCAGGGCACCTACAATACAACCCATATAAGAGCTACTTTATGAGCACCCAACATACACATACATCCCAATAACTACTCCAGGGCACCTACAATACAAACCATATAAGAGCTACTTTAGGAGCACCCAACATACACATACATCCCAATAACTACTCCAGGGCACCTACAATACAAACCATATAAGAGCTACTTTAGGAGCACCCAGCATACACACACATCCCAATAACTACTCCAGGGCACCTACAATACAACCCATATAAGAGCTACTTTATGAGCACCCAACATACACATACATCCCAATAACTACTCCAGGGCACCTACAATACAAACCATATAAGAGCTACTTAAGGAGCACCCTCCGGAAGCTACTGTAGGAGTATACAAAATACACATACATTCAAAGAACTATGGGATTGCTAAATACACTTATATCCGAAAAACTACAGTGGAAGCATAGATGGACTAATACACAAGTAGTGAATTTACGTTATTTCATCCGTGATGGAAGCTCTGTAAACAAAAATTGACTTGAGAAACTACAGTATTGCTAGAGTTCGTGAAGGACGGCTACGGTTACGCCGGTTATCTGAGAGATGCGTGGCAGTGAAAACGAACGGAGAGAGTAAAGACACATTGACCTCAATTTTGGAAGTGATAGGATGAGAGGAGCCCCCTCCCAGGGCAGAGAAAGTTGATGAAGGTTTGTGTCTTGGCCTTCGTCAGTAGCGTGTGTTCTGTTGTGACGGTGTGTGACTGTCCTTACCCCTGAACTGCACCGCCGCCTCCACCGCCTCCGCCGCCTCCACCGCCCCCATCACCCCCATCGCCTCCACCGTAAGTCTACAGTTGATTACAATCTAATTCATCACTAAAAAACTTTCGTCGACAACTTCATAAAGTTTGTGAAAATGTCTAAATATAAGATAAACAGATACCTACTGAAACTAATTACCGTATAATTATTTTGAATGTACATTTATCAAAGACGGCTTAAGAGTCAATTTCTAGATTGAACGGTTACCATTTTCTATCAGTTGGAGAGCGTTTTCTCTTTCACTTTCTTCCGAAATCGGCTAGACTTCACTGTGGGTAGACTGGGTTAGATCGCCGGGCGATATCTATTAGTGCTTTTGTACTGGTTTAAAATGCTTCGTCGAATATATCGATGTCCCGATGTCTCTAATATTTGATAGAGGTAGATTTTTAACCTCCCAGCCGCCCGATGTTTGACAAATACAGGAAATATTAGCCAAAACATAGCTAGGCCTAGAAGTTTTTTTTATTTAGAAATAGCCCTTACCGGAGGAACCCCCACTTAGAATGGTTTCAGTTAAAATATGCTGTTTTAAAGCTAATATAATAAACCATACAAAAACGCAAAAAGGGCCAAACTTTGTTTCAGAGAATACTGATTGTTAGAACAGTTTTTTAGGTAAAAATTTAAATTTTTCTAATAAAGTACAAACTAAATATTATTGATATTCAATTAGCCTACTATATTTTTCGCTAAGTGATGCATTTGTACCAATGCTGCAGATCCCTAGGAGATTTTTTTATTTAGGAACCTAAGGTGTCAATTGAAAGATACTTCCTAAGTATTTAATCGAATTATCTAGCATTTCTTTAATATAAACGTAATTTAACTAATGTTCATTAAAATTGAGGGTTTCCGGATATCTCACAATCGATTTGAGTGAAGATAAATATACAAGAATATTGGATATGTTCACAATCATTACTCAAAACCATATACAGTAGGGCTATTAGTTGTGTTGTTGTACTATCGGAAGGTAACATCAATTAAGATTCAAAATAATTATTAATAAATAAAATGTATTAAAAAATAGTACGTCATTCTCACAAGCTAGTTAATGTTTTATAACATTGATCAAAATACTATAAGACTTTAAAATTGATGTAATAATTGTTGTGTTTTAGCGAATTTCCCTATAGGGAAGTAGCTATTACCGTAGGTGGCACGGTAAGACCTAGGCCCGGGACCAATATACTTTGTCATTTTGATGACCCTAGAGGCCAAAAACACTATTCGTTCAAATTTATATATGTATATAGGCTATGCACGTCCGTGATCGCGATAACTTGACTAATTTTTGTCCGATTTTTATGAAATTTGGCTTGCAGGTGTAGGGCGGTACCTATAAACTTAAATGAGTTCGCGAACCAGAATGTTCGGGCTATGGGACGGGGTTTTATTGGGTAAAAATTGGTTTTAATCATTTTCGACCCTCAAAACACAACATTTCCCAATTTCCCTTCACACCATTTCAAAGAGCTAAAAAACAAATAAGTACGTTGGAGTGTTTTTGTGCGGTTATTTGTTACGGAGAAAATTGAATAAATTGTAAATTTAAAATTCCTATGTTATTATTATGGAGAGAATACGTAAACTTTTTTAGTTCACTTGCTTATGGATATGTTTTGATCAAAACTTAGCAAGTTTATTTATTTTATACTAAGCTGTTAATATTTTACTAAAAAAAACCTTTATATTACCCTCCCTGTTGCTGCAAACCTAGGTATACTTGTTAAATCTAATTTTATTTATTTAGATTTAATTTTAAACCCAATACTGGTAAATGGAAATTCGCTTAGTCTGCAGGTTTGCTGCGGCGGCAGGGGTATTTTATTATTCTCGAGTTAGCAAGCTGGCTAAAATGAGTGTGTAGTATCACAAATCGTAAAACGTCTCACCTAAATTGGATTTACATAGATTAGCTAAATATTGTTTTCATAGTAACCAAATATGATTTTGATTTTATTAAGTTACTAGAACTTCAGCTATAATATGTTTAAAATGTAAAATATACGTCCATCTGTCTAAACTATTTAAAGCACGAAAATGGTTAAGAATAATGTAATGTTTCTTCTGAAAACAATTAACATTTTATATTTCAATTTGGCATCCCACCATAAAACATCATCATATTTGTAATTCCATATTTATAGTCCCCAAAGTTTTTGATACTATACAGGTAAATACATGGTATTTTTTTAAAACTCGACCCACATTAAAAGTACAGAGATTTTTCAGGGACCAAACGAGTTCATATATAATTACAATCCTACCTTTATTTCGTTGCCGATCAGCTGATATGCATTTTAGCATTGTTGTCTTTATTGATTAGTGTTATTTGGAATTGATTGTGGACAAGACTCAATGTGTGTTTCACAAGGTCAAAGAGCAGAAGCAAAGTATTCCTTTTTACCAAGAGTCTTTATGCTGCTAAGTTTTAGTTGAGACTCCACTCCAGTACCTAACAAATTAACTACATGTTGTATAAACTGTAAAGATCAATAATACAGTACTTATTTTTACATATATTTTTATGTATATGAACTATCAATATAAGGGTTGCGTTTTAGAACAAAAACTAGCTGAATCTCATTCACAATAAATTAAATACCACTAAACCGTGTTGACAACAATACTAAAATGAAAAACAGCTGATCGGCAGTTAAGTAAAGCGAGCAGGGATTTAATTAAAACGTGCTTGTTACTTGTTTTGTCTCTAACAGTGAATCTTTGTGCATTTGTCATCTTTGTTTATTATCTTTGTTCAGTTGCATCTTTGTAACTTCGGTTGCGTGTAAAACAGCCCTTGCCTAAATACTTTTCATGTGTGCAGTTCAAACTGTTTAATTGTTGTTATATTTGTTGGCTAGAATGCCATTATCAAACACCTTTCCTCTGGAACGTAAGCATCCGATGTAGGGGATTCGTTATCGTGTGTGTAATTTGTTTTCGTGTGTCATCGACGAAGCTACAGCGGATGGTTACGTTCCTGACGAAAGTTTCTTGATAATGGCATACTTGCCAACAAATATAACAACAATTCAACAGTTTGAAACTGCAGATATTTTTACGTACCTATCATGTTTTCGTTCTACTTAAATTTGGCCATTTAGGTGGTTAAATATCTTTGAAGGATGAATACTATTAGTATTAAGGTTACGCGTTATTCCAGCGTCGTCATCGTTGATCATCATCTTCATCGTTTGCTAAGTAGCTCAACAACAGACGGATCAGGAAAGTGTTGGATTTATACTGACGTACGGAGTGCAAAAACGTCACAAGAATACATCGCAGCAGCCTAATTTACAAACACGCCAATATTTTTTCTTGTGTTAACATTTAGTTCGTTTTGGATCCAAGATGCAGTTTTACATGGCAATTTCCATATTTGCCATGTCCTCTATCCTTGCTATAATGGTCGCGGTCGGATAGGACTGATAGTGTGTGTGTTAATTCAATAGTTGCAATCGTTGGGCCTTTTCCGTTAATTCATTGCCGCTATGTGTTGCCGGGTTAGTATCATAGTATGATTTTGATATTGAACAAGTTTCCCACTATATTCAGACCAGCTGTCGCCTGTTTTCATTCAGGATAAAAAATGAATGGGCTTTCTTAGACTACTACGAAACTAATATATTTTATATCTATTACTTTTTTATACAATAATGGTGGATGGAATCATCCAATATTCAGCTATAGTTCACATTTAGTTGCATTTTCTGTTTTCCAAGATTACAGGGTAGGTGCATAACAAACGTTTTTCGTCAACGGATAATTTGACAGTACAACAGGTATGCTTTACCTTTTCATTGGTATTTTTATGCAACTCATTCAAATCTAGATCGATTTTTTTTCTAGATGTATATCTAGATTTTAATCTAGATCGTGGCTAGATAAAAAAAACTGGGACCTTCAACTATGAGGTTTTTTTTAAGTGACTTAGAAATGAGAACGGAATTTTGATTTCCCAATGAAGTGTCTAATGTTATTTTACGCAAGCTAGAAATAAGTTTTGAAAAAGGATAGTTCACATCTCAAACCTATAGATAACCTTCGTCAGAACTGTACATTTACATATCTATTGTTGAGTGGTTTGGAGGAGACAAAAATGATCAAATCCCGTCAAAGCGTCGAGAGAAGTAAGCTTAGTATTGATGAGTTTTCTTCACAAAATGGTTATCTAATGGCTATTTATTAACACATTAGCTACCAACTATACTCATCCCTCAGTTACAGAGGAATGTACGGTCGGTAGGGAACGTGTTAAGCTGCAATAGTATTATTCTTATGTATAAATGCGTTGGGAGGATCAAATCTCAAGTTTTCCTAAGGCCAAACGGGTTATGGGTTCCCGGGTCTGAAATAGAGCCTTAGGACTACTACATAATAACAGGTTATCTAAATTAATAATTTTATTATCCGGGTATCTAAAGGCATATTACTACCCCACGAAAAAATAAACACTGAAAAGTGAAAACAGTGCAAAATCTCCAGAATTATTTATCTAAAATTATATTCAATCGCATATTTCATATCACAAACTGCATACTACTGATAAAAACTGTTTTATCCTACCTTGAAATCACTCAGCCAAAGAACAGATGAGTTTTTCGTAAGTTTTAAATTTTTTAGATTTAATAGATATATTTTGTTATAGGTACTATTCACCACTACAAAATAAATTAACCACGCCACTGCTTGTGCACTATCCATACATTATGTTATACTTGTGAGTATTATTAGTACAAAATATTCCATCCTGATTTTAGACTGTAAGTGGAAGGGTTATAATAAATCGAGCTTCGATTTGCTACATATAAGGATATTCAATTAGAATTCCATGTACTGTGAAGATATTTTATATACTGTCCAAAGAAAGTGCTATAACACCGTTCTTATTCTTTAGCAACCGTCGCTTTACTCTATACAGTTTGGTTTGTAATCATTACAGTATCAAAATCCCTACAGCTGTGACTGCACCTTCAACAGTATAAAGGTGACGTAGATCTGCGATCGAATGTCCTTTTTAAGTAAGGTAAATTTATTATGGGTTTCTAAAAATATTTAAATTGTTATTTTACATAAAACCCCTATTTCAAAATAACGACGACGCATCAAGATATTGTCGTGATAGCTTAATCGGTTTTGAGTTTGTCATCTTCGGAAATTTGATTGCACTTTATTCTCTAATTATAATTTATGATAAAGTACAACAAAATTTTCGTAGTTTTATTTATCAAATCTAAATCCGTGTCTTTGGCCAATTAGATTCATCCATGGTGGGGGGTGAGTGCCGCTCTATTCTTTGCTGAGGGGATTATAAACTGTCAAAACCGTCTGCCGTTTGACTCCACAGAGGCGTTTAAGAGTGATTCGGAGGAGGGGTATTAGTGGAAGGGGGTGTAGTGGGCAGGATGTAACGGAGACCGGGTACAGTTTCTTAACTGGGCTACTCTAATCGACTGAAAATTAATATCGATTCGATTAGTACACCTTCATTCAATTTTTTCACTATCAGCCAGTTTGCTTAGGTTAGGTTATAACCGTTTCATTTCATCCCCAAAACAAATTTTGCTCACCCCTCCCTGATCGATATTTACAACCCCATACCCGCTGCACCGTGGAACCGGTCACTGATACAATTGTAGCTGGCCGGCACTCGCACCGCCAAGCCAAGGTGTAAAATAATCCTCGTCAAAGTGTTTAGGCGGACGGAACTCGGCCCTGCATTCTCCGTGTAGGCCTGAGTTTGGTTTTGCTGACACACACACACACACACACACGACATCACATACATCCGGTGTACCATATAGTTGTGACGGCCGAGTGCCCAAGACCAGACCAGAACCACAACAAAGAAGACTTTCACATCCATAGTTTGTTATCGTGGGGAGGGAAATTAATATGACCTAATGAAATTCTAAACGTAGTAGAGCAGTACAGTATAGGCCTAGTAGCCACTTAAACTACTAATAAACCCCAACACTCTATTGAATTGTTTTTACTGCATTATGAGCAAGGTGTGCTTACATAGAAGTTTGTTTGTATAGAATTGACTCCCGCACAATTAAGACAGTTTTATCTATCTTAAAATAACTCCTATTCGAAAAAAATTATATCTCAATTTGTTTAACAGTGTTTAGCTTGTAACTTATATACGTAGCTATATGTAGCCAGCGTTATTTGTAATAATCGTAGGCAACGTTTGGGTGTCTCCAAAAGTAAAATTACTAATCATCAGTGGTATCTGTTGAGAAAATTACTCTTAAACTTAGCCTATAAATCAACATATATTTGATCATGAACATTCCTGATCAAGAGAAGGGGTTTCAAGAGAAAGCAGTTGTAGCCAACAAACTTGTTGGAGACTAATAAAATTTTAAAAATTTTCGAAATGCTTTTTACCACACGTGGATAGGTTAGGTTACCTGTTTTCGTTAAGTTAAATCGACGAAAATCGTGTTTATAAGCTGGGCCGTAAATCACTTCCTTTCGGACCTGACGTTTATTAAAATTATACTCCACAGGTTTCCACACAAATAAGCTTAATAAGCTGTGACTACATCATTTGCATTGTTGCCGTTGCCTAGCTATAACCTCAACAACCAACACATTGCCATAGACGTGTTGTTTGTTGGTTGGATGTTTTGCGTTTGTTTCCAACGAACGGCTAGTGTTTATTCCTGGATGATTGTATTTAAACATATTTTTATAACCTATTACTTTTTTTATAGTGTTGATATAACAGCGATTTCATATAAAACTATAGGGTTGTAATATTCAAATCAGAACAGTTAACTGTCAACAGTGTAAGCCTTGTGAAGCACTCAGTCAGGTTCCGCTCCAGGGCTCTGTATAATCACACTCCTAAACTCTTCTTTACACACTTTCCTTTTCTATCCTCAGAGCAGAGCAGGCTTTCGTCGGCGCGCCTCTCGACCTCCAGTAGTATTTGAATGATCAAAGTTACAGGATTGTAGGCAACTGTGGCAAGAGGTATACGGTATGACCCTGCACAGTCAATGACATAAGCAACGAGAATGTTTGGCTTGGTTGGCATAAATAAAAATTATGTATTGAAAACGAATAGTTACTCATAAATTACCAAGGAAATAGTTCACTAATTCACATACGAAAATGAGATACGACAAGTATACCCTGCAGTTATGAGGGACTAGGACAAATTTTAGAGATTGTGCACAGATTATAATATTGAAAATATATCTCTTGTAAGTTTACAGTCAATATCAAAATTAAAATACAATTTATATTCAGAAAGTTCCTACATAAGGGGAAGTTCTGATCAAGCAATTCTCATACAATACTTGAGCATGATTTATTTTAGTCCTTCCCCAGAAGGTCATAGTAGACCTTGAACTTGAACAGCTAAGTGGAGGCTCCTGCCCTGAGCCAGTTATTGTTTACAAGTTCAGTGACTCACACTTATGGGGATTAGTCCAATAAAGAAATTATCTTTAATATAACAACTAACAATAAAACAATTTCATATTGGGGTTTCTCCAAAAATGTTTATAAATTTGATAACAAAGTCCCCAGAAATCAGTCATTTTTTACATATTTTCATAAAAAACAAAGCTTGACTTTGGGTTAAAACTGGGATGGATTTGAGTAACAAGCTTTATTCCAGTGGCATATGTCTGCAAATGTCCTATTTCTTGAGACTAAACATTATTTTCAAGATGAGAGCTGGGTCCACTCAGTTTGTGGGAGCCACTTATCCATAACTGACATCCAAAATGTAGATAGTTATTATACAGTAGCACGTTTCAGTTTTAAGAATGTAACAATCGGACAGGATCACAGGTCAACTCAAAATCTACCTACCTCAATCTAGAAAATAGACCGCCACAAAGTCTATCACCAGTTGACCAGTGGTGTAGTCATAGATTTTCTAGTGTCGGAACGCTTCCCTAGGTTGCGGAAAACTACAGGTCGCTTTCCAATAAAGTATATAGGTTCTTTAGAAAAAACAGAAGGGGAACACCGTTTCCAAGTGTTTCTGCCGCAATACACAACTGCAGTCGGCGAGAATGAATAGAGTAAAGTGTAAGAAAACGTGCACAAAGACTAGAGGGAGTTTTGAGGAGGTCTTAAACATCTGTATGATGTTATTCATAGGATAGGCAGACTTCTATTATTCATAAGTCTTGTTTGAAGCATTGGCCAAAGTTGGGGAAATTTAGTATGCAGATCAAGAGTGACTGAGCAAGAGAGATTGTTGAGCTAACAGGGATAGTCTCTTTAAGACCATCAAGGATGTCAGTTAGCTAGATTTACCTCCATCCTGTGTAAATCCAATCACATAACACGTTTCATTCTTGGCAGGATTTTCAATTTTCTTTCACAATGTTTTTGAATACTATGACAAGACTAATCATCTCATAGTGGTGGAATCAGCTGGTCATATAATCAGTTGGTCTCAAATTTGAACCAGCTCGCTTGGCTGCAACGGCCGATGGAGGCCAACATTTATGGGCAACCCTTGTATTATTTAACTCCACAGTGCAACCAGAAGCATAGGGCCTACTGCATGATTATGCACTTCATGTTTTACTTGTATTTCCTTAATTTATATTTTAGTAGCTTAAAAACCCCTGGCTCAATAATTTTTTTTTGCATCTACCTACTTGTGCCCACTGTTTGGGTGAAAGGTCATTTCCACCAAATAAAATGACAGGTCGGTTTTATAGAAGTTGTGTTGACCCTGACAATTCAATTCAATTCATCAAACACATTAAACATACTCCAGGGGTGAAGACCAATCATCAGTCTTCTCAAGACAGGAGGTTGTTCATGATGTGACAATAGTTTTGAGGACTTTAAATGACTCTATAATTGAGGAGAATAATAATAAGTAAGCTAAGAAGTGGATATGATCTGTGTTCACTTAAGTCTGACGTTTTGCTTCTGGCGTTAGGTGGAGCTATATTGCACAATCTAACACGCAGACACCAGCTAAATCAGTTGGTTGCGTATTTACCTACCATTTTGTCACCTTTTTTAGCGCGGAGAAAAACAAATAAATGCCTAAATATTAAAGATTTTGTTTATTTTTCAGTCCAAGATATTCCTTTGGAGGATAAGATGACAACGCGGTGACCTCTCTTAGAAGCATGCGGCTGATCACCCTCGTACCTCTAGTGTGCTGCGCGAGCCTGACGTTAGCTGTGCGGTTCACCGGAGATGCTGAGGGTTCGAGGATTTACGACACCAAGCCGTCAGTAAAATACCCGAGGTACGACGATGACCTCTCCCAAGACCACAGAAACCACATACGTTTCGAGAGAGTAAAAACGATAGAATCCTCGGAAGCGAAGAAAGAGAAAACTCGTAATCAAAAGAATACTTCTAAGATGTTAAATAACTTTTCAAACCATAAAGAACTGGGAAAGACTGACGATGAAACCAAAGAATCTCAAGAGATAAATACCGATCTGGACAGCCAGGAGCCCGAAGCGAGGTACTACTCGGACTACGGAACATCTCCTTGGAACGAGCGATATCCTGTGAACATGCTGAGCAACAGTCTGCAGCAAGAGATGATGCTGATGGAAGTTCTGCAGGAGAAAGTTAGAGCCAACAAGACCATGGACGATCACAGGGGATTCCATAACAACCTGATGGAGATGCTCGGCAAAAGTGAGTAGACACCTTCAATACTCTTCAAGAAGATCACTGTTGATAAACCTGTAAGTTCGGCTAATGTCAGATATGGTTATGAATTTAACAATCATTATGTTCATTCCAAATTTATATGAAATAACAAAGCACACATTTTCATATTTCACGTTCAGGTTTGCACCATAACAGATTGTTCCTATCAATTTGTCTAATCAGTTGCCTAAACTATTAAAACTTTCAAAAAAAGTTACCTATATACCTTCAAATTGTGCACATATACCTTCTAAGTTTTAAATATGTTTTTATAATAAAGTTTATCAAAATACCTGTGTTAGTTTAATTTCGTACAAGCTTATCACAAGTAGTTGTTCTCTTCCTTCTTTTATCACATTTCAATCAATTTTTGGTTTCAATATAAAAAAAACTCTTAAATTTGTACAGAGAATTCAACAATGATACTAACTTGTTTACTTAAGGTAGAGAATATATTTTAGAGTTCTCTGCTTGATCTTCAACTAACAAAACAACTAATAATTTTTTTTGACAGAAGAAGTGTACTTATAATATCTGGGAACACCTTTTTCTGTTATAATAATGAGGTATTTTATACAGATAATTACCTAATTAGAAGCTGTAAACTAAAAATTTTGTTACCATAAACTCCCCCCTTCCCCAACATTTGCAATTTACTTATTATACCTTCAACCTTTTCTAATACTCCATAAAAATATAAACTTCGTGCAAGCTAATCAGTATATATACGTACCTAAGCCATTTGATTATAACTAATGTAAACAGTCATTTTCAAATAATCTTTTTCAGTGTATTTTAGTTTAGCGCTGTTGTATTTTATTTTAAAAGTCTAGGTATTTATTAATCAGTGTGTGGGTAGCATTGATGTAAAGTAGAATCTGAATCAGAAATACTTTTTTTTAATTTACAATGTTAATACAAATTTGCATCAATAATAATTAATAATACAATTATCTACCTTGTGTTTGGTTGTGCGAGTGAAGTGTGAACGAGAATGAGAATGAGATTTTATTTGCCAGTTAATATTCAATAAAAATACATTGGCACGTCAAATTAGTCATAACATAACATTAATTAAGGTCCAGTGGGGTCAGTGTTCTTGACATATAATCTTCTATTGAGTATAATGGCTGATTACCTACTCAATAGAAGCTTCAGAAGTTATAGATGCTTCATATATAGTACTTCATATAACATATAGAAGCTACATGATAGAGAGGTACCCCAACAGTTAATTCTCATATGTCATAGTACTAACTCAGATGTTAGTACATTGACTGGGTCACATAAGCCAGCTGTTACCGATGGTCACGTGATGCGACAGTAGCCACGCAAATTTAGTTGACCAGGCCTACTGGGATAGTGATAATTATTATTTCCCAAGCTCTAATTTAGAGCTAATCATCTAATTCTCCCTTGCTCTAATTTACTTTCTCTTGTCTCAGCGAGTTCTACATTTGCACATTACACACAATCGTTTTTTACCATTCATTTTATAAGTTTTTCTTCAGGACCTTTATTTGTCCTCAACATCTGTGTGTTGAAATTTTTCTTTAGTGATTTGTTGATGAGAGGTTATGTTCCGCAGTGATCCCGCAGACCTGTTGGTACAACCAGAACAAGTTTGACTGCGGACTGAGCATCTCCTGTGTTCTGGAGGGAGGTAAGCCGTTGGACCTCTGCAGTGGGGGGATGATCTGGAGTTGCTGCGTATCCAGAGATAAGTTACAGGTTCACAACGACCCCAACATGGGAGTCATCGAAAATGCTAGTAAGTATAACACACGTACTAAACAAAAAGCAAGTCTTAGGGGTAAATATAGCTCTAGTCTATTGTAAGCCTATAAATAGTCGATAAAATACAGTATAGCGATGAACAGATTAAAAACACACTTGAAATACAAGCATAATTTGTCACCATAGTTTCAATGTGCTAATCCTAATATGTGGGGATTGTGAATATGATTCTAAACAGTCGTACTGTACGTAACAGTTTGTGTTACCATTATTAAAGTATCACATCCCTGGTTGACACATATAAACGAAACATCATGTGATACTTCAAATCTCTATAAAACTGATGAAGGCACTAGACGTTCTAGTCCTCCTGGGTTTCAAGTGTGATAGTAAGTTTTTTCATCAGTTCATCAGTGTATTTTATCCAGAAAGTTAACATTTTGAGTGTATTTTATCCAGAAAGTAAACATTTTGAAAATACTCTCAACCATAGTAAAAAATGTATATTCAGTTTATATTTAATGTATGTGATAAGTAAATGTGTAGTTTTGGAATATAAGAGTTATGAATTAAAGGGCTTATTCTATCCTCAAGGGTTATTAATTGGCTAAATTTAAACTCAGATGAAAGGATGTGGATGAGATGACTTGTACACCTTGAGATGACCTTGATACAGACTAGAACCAGCTTACTCTTAGCCATAATCTTTGATTAGATAGCTTGACGAGGTTTCTAACTACAGTATCAAAAAGCGAGAGATTTTAGGACTTTTCTAGCAACTCAGTCCCAATATACAGTTTATTGAACATACTGTCACATCAAGTAAAAGTCATCCTGCAAAAGCCTCAAAATGTTAATCGACTTTTTTATGTTTTTTTTATAAAGCCGATGTATTTCCCCCAATACATCTAAGCACTGAATGTGTTATCCAGGAAGTCATCAAACCAGAGAAGAACTGTGTTTTAAATTTGCTATTCATTGTTAAATTTGTATTTTTTTCATGTGATTTGTTAGCATATATATTTATATCCCTCAAATAATATACGATTTGAGACATTTTCCACATCAAGATAAGGTACTTTTGCCATTTTTGGCAGATGACATCTAAGTAACAGCTAGTTTCACAATGGCAGATGCGTGATAAGTTGTTCCATTGAACGACACGGCACTTTACACTTTCTCTGGCAACCACAGACTGGAAACACAGAACAGCTGTTGGCGCAATACTCATTGTCATACTGTACATGCCATCTATATATTTAGCTCAGTTCCTTCCGGCCATACAATTACCAAAAGAAAGTAACAATATTAGATCTTGAAGAAAAAACTCCTCCACAGAGTATATTTTATATTTATGTAGACAATGTCAAAATGAATGTATGTCTCATCAGTATATAAACCAAAGTCCCTTATTTAATTTCATTAAGTGGTGCAATCCTTCATCAAAGGATAGAGCTATGAAATTAAACACTGGTCCTGTGTAGGTATCTTCAGAGATCTCTTTTAGATAGGTAGTTTTATGGGAATATAAGTTCTAAGGGAATGATACTCTAAGGATCATAAATTTTGTCTAGTTATATAAGTATGTACTGTGGTTGTTGATTTATTGAACTTTGCAACGTTTTTAGCCCAAATAAGTTATAGTTTTGTTATTTATTTATAAACAGATACAAAAATAGTTATAACATGCCTGAACCAGCAGTGAAGGGAAACATTTTACAGCTAACTAAACTGTTATCCAGTACAGATGTAAGATTAATTTAATTTAATTGTCACATTAACTACAGTACATATGAGAAGTAACATCAATCTAAGATTTGTGGTTTGTATAGGGTAGGGCTTCGGTGAGTATGAGTTCCACAATCCATCTGTAAAAGGTTCCCACCTCTTCCTAAACAAATACAGAAAGAACCGCCTTTTACTATAATAGGAGCTTAATATTAATTTTGGTAAACAGTTTATTCTAATAGAATACATCAACAAAGAAGAAATGTTTTCACAACTAACTTATTTTGAAATGAGTTCCAGGCGATGAAAACACACACAAAACTGAAACTATTTTAACGGGTTAAGTTAGTGTGGATCCATTTCTTCTTTCATTGTGCATTCATAAGAAAAGTGCTCATTACCCAAATATAAGAGATTTGGAGATGTTTCTCAAGTATTTCCAAAAATCACCAGTAGAAAGCTATCCTCAGTGTTATCATAATTTTCTATTTATGTAAATTCTCCTTAGAAATTGAATTTTTAAACACATGTAGTAGTAGTAGTTTAAAATGTTAAATGATTCAACTATTTTATATTCAAAAATCTATATGATCGATCACGTACTTTAGAGAAGCAAAACAAACCTAGTTACAATAATAACACGCTTATAACTAAACATACTTTCATTCTACTACATAGTATTGATCCCTATCATTTTGTTTGATAACATAAGGTGGTGGTGTAAATATAATAAGTTCAAATGTGTTTTTTTTTGTATTAACATTAACAAGTATTTAACAATTTATTGTTGACCTTTTGGAAGTGATCAAACAAAAATTAGTAATTTTTTTTCATCCACTCTTTCAAATAGTGTTTATTTAATAATACTGTACAACAGTTGCAATTACTAAAGGAAATTTCACTTCAAAATACACTGTGTGTCTTTTAATTTTCCCATCAATATTTAATAAAGTTAAAGACAAACTATGTATGAGATGTTGTTGTGTTGTTTAAAATATAAATTTAAATTAAAGTGTTGGTAAAAATAGCTTCAACTGATAAACCACTAATAGAATATACGCACCTCTGTCGTAAAAATGTTAAATGATTCAACTATTTTATATTCAAAAATCTATATGATCGATCACGTAGTTTAGAGAAGCAAAACAAACTTAGTTACAATAATAACATGTTTAAGAAAGACTAACTAATTACTATATATTATGAAACACTGAATTATGTAAGCTATGAATAATTTCAAACCTCTTAATTCTTTTCGTGCCGCAGCCTTGTTTCTCGCAAGTTTCAAACTTGTACTTCAACTATATACTTACACTAGTGAACAGTTTAAAAACCAGTGTAGCCTACCCATCATAGATCATAGACTCTAGCCATGTAAGGCCCAATTCACACAGAACGGACGTGAGGCAGAGACGTGGCGTGTACAATGCACACAGAAGGGACGGTACAGTGGCGAGAAAACTTGTATGTAGACTAGACGCTTTAGTTTTTGACTATTTCTGTTAGTTATTTATGTCAACCGAATTAGTTATTTCTGTCGACTGAGTCGATTATAGTTAGTTTGTACGACTGTGATCCTACAAACAACAAGTAAATTTTCAACTTCCTCACAAAATCTGTGATTGAATTCAATGTCTTCTCGCATAGTGAAAAGAACAAGAGACAACTCACAATTACTCTAAACACAAAACAACAAACAAGGTTGGTAAGTACAATATTTGCAGTCCGAACAATGGGCGCGCTACGGACTTGCCACTTTTGATATGCCACGAGGGACGCAGAAGCGACGTGGCAGTGGCGGGAGGGCGGCCACCCGCGCCACATCACTGCGTTGACCAATTTGTTTACATGGAGAGGCGAGAAAGATACATATGTCTTTGCCTCGTCTGTGCCACATCTCCGCCCGACGTCCGTTCTGTGTGAATTGGGCCTAAGTGAAATGATAAAAACCTGTTAACTACTTGCCCAAAAAACTAAAAACAAAACATGCCTTTTTATACATAGATGCATATTTTTTCTTACTATGGGCTCTAGCCCAGGATTGTTTTTCACATTACTTCAGGCTAGGCCTAGAGGTTGTGGCATTTTCACTTAGATAAAATCCATTGGTGATTGGCGGAATTTAAACTTACTACGGGCACCGAAGTCTCGTTCTTTACCACTAAACCAGCTCGCCCCCCTCCCCCTCAGACGCATAGATGATGGGTAATATGTCACACAAGAAAACCCATCACCAATGTTCTATATTAGAATTTTTACCCACTGATTCCTCTTTTGCAGAAGGTTATAGGGGAAAAAACTGATCGAGTCCTAGACTTTTTATGGCTTACACAGACTCTTTATTGACAAGCTAGCTGTCTGATGGCTGATGGTTAATTTCAGTGTTTCATATCATTAACAAAACTAACAGGGATTTCCCATATTTATAATTGTAAATGTGGTTACATACTCCAAGAAAGACAAGAAGCATTCACAAAATCCACTCACCCTTGAGAGATAAGTTGCGGCACATGAGTTAACGAGAGCAAGGATTGTAAGTATACTTTATTGACCTAACCGTTGCTTCACAGCTCTCAATTTCCTGATGCAGCATCAGCAAGAACTTGGAGGTGTTCATCAGAGTCAGGGTGCTGAATCCCAGAACCTCCAATATTACCTCAACAGTATTCCCAATATTCCCACCCGTCCTCCGTTCACTTACTACTCTCCACCAATTCCTCCCTTTAGACCCCCAGCTCCCTCCTTCTGGGTGGCTCCCTCTCGGCCCACCCAAATACATGATCCTGGATTTCGGGGTAACTAATCCACTAATTCAATATTAACAGCACTTGCAGGGGCGGCAGATTCTATAGGTGATGAGTATTTTTCATTCGGGTAAGATTTTTTCACCCGGGGATATGATGTCCTCGTCTTCAGGGGATTTCAGATTGCTTTAAAATAATACATTCTAACCTATAACATAAGGAAATGAAAACTACTCCTTAGATTTGAGGTTGAGGAAATTTCACAACCAAAAACATCATAAACATACCTTAATAAGCTAAATAAAATTATCAGTACTCTATTTAGATAATTAACTAAACACTACCATAAACGAGTTTGAAAGTAAAAATATAAAATTACTTAATACTGTATTGAATTTTAGATCAGTCAATAATAGTTATTCTCATAATGAATTATTGTAATAATGGAATTCAATTATATGAGATAATATAATCAATTTATGACCATGAGTGAAATGAAAATTAAATTAAAACAATGCTTTATTTTACAAAGAAATAACCACAAACTGGGATTCCTCACCAGCCACACCTCATACTTAACTGTAATGGGTTGTGGAATTGTTTTAGTGGTTAAAATACATATTTTTTGTGTTTCTTTTTTAAAGTACATTTTTTACAACTATAAAAACCACTTTAGTCTAAATTATGAATAAAGCAAATAAAAAGTCTGCCCCTAACTGTTTAAATAAAGGGAATAAAACTTTGAAAAATTGCTGGCTCACAAATTAACATAACCCAATTTGTTTGATTTTACTGAGGACACCACCTCCCCAAGAAAAAAATCTAGACTAAAAGTTAATACATGTTCCTAAAAATATATCATTGTACTAGTAGAAGTTTTTTTTCATTAAAATACATTTATGCATACATTATATTTATACATGCACTAAGAACTGAAGAAAAAAGGGTAATTTTTTAGTAAATGATTATAGACCTAACTTACTTCTCCTTTGTTTTTAAAGTTAAATCTAGGTACAATATGTTAGTTTGACAGTGGTGATGAGTTTTGACACTAAACAGTCAAGAAGAGACCAAAACAAAGTAAATCTTGTCTCTGTTTGTAGTTAAGTGGGATATCTGGTGGCATATGTACCCCCGTAGGTTATATCTCTTACTTATTGACAAAATGTTTGTTATAAAAAAGCACATTCTGGATAAAAACAAATAAATTTTTATTTGTTTTTTCTATAACAATTATAACTTTTAAGGTGAAAACTGACAAGTAAATTTGAAGTTTGAAAGTCTCAACTGCTCTCTTTGCCGCCCCGATCACCTAGCACATGGCTGCACTCTCCAGGGGTAGGGGAATGGAGGATGGTTTCTCTTTTGAAACTCAGTTAACTCAATGAATAAATTATAATATTATTTTTAAATTAATTGAATTTTGCTAGTTTTAAAATTTTGGTATTTCCCCGACCCCTTTCCTGGGTAAGCCTCAGCACTGTTCTTGGTTGTCTGCACCTCACCGCCATCACGATTTCATCACTTACACCGTCTTATATATCAATGTAATGGAGTTTTTATATTACGTTATGAAGAGGGTTCAGTCAGAACTATTTGTTCTATGTTTCTCTTATTAAAATGTAATAATACTTGTGTGATGTTTCTGAAGGTTTATTAAATAGAACTGAAATTTTAATTTCTATTTTTTGTGGTTTTAGATTACTGAGCTTTTAAAAATGTTTAAAATGTTTAAAGTCAAATACAGTACAGTCCTGCAAACTCGGCATAATGTGGACTGGAAGGGTGCCGAGTTTGTGAAATGCCAGGTTATCGGGAACTAGGGTTAAAAATAAGGACAATACAATTTTTAAGCTTTTTTAATCTCATTTTTTATATTACAAGTCAGTATTAAATCATAAGATATAGTACAAAAAATCCTTGGTACGAGTTGTGAATGATTTTACTTGAGCTGGCTTGAGTCCATATCACTAATTTTCTGAGCCAGATGGCCGAGTTATCCAGACTGCCGAGTTTGCGGGACTCTACTGTACTTGTATGGTTATGGCTGAGCCCCCCTCTTAACCCATATTACCCAATTAATAAAATTAATTAATAAAAAAACTAACTCTGCTCTTAAATAGTTCTAAAATGCCTCTACAATAAACTGATCTAACTGGTCATAAATGGGTTTACTGGTATTTACACTTATTGATTAAATTTATAAACATGCATATTTAACATACAACCCTTTAAGGGAAGTAGCTAACTTTTCAAACAGACGATGACCCATTTATTCCACATTCACAATATTCTTCCACATGTTAAAAATTATAAACAATTAGGTAAGTGAATTGTAAATCAATATTTTGGAGATAAGTGTTTTTTAATTTTACAATCTGAGAAGAAAAAACTTTTCTAGCCTGTCTGTCCACTCCCCTGGTGTGTTAAACATGTTGTCGACTCCCTTGGTGTGTTAAACATGTTGTCGACTCCCTTGGTGTGTTAAACATGTTGTCGACTCCCTTGGTGTGTTAAACATGTTGTCGACTCCCTTGGTGTGTTAAACATGTTGTCGACTCCCTTGGTGTGTTAAACATGTTGTCGACTCCCTTGGTGTGTTAAACAATGTTGTCCACTCCTTTGGTGTTTTTCACTCAAACGTAGTGGAGAACTCGTTAAGAAGAAGAAAGTAGTGGAACCTTGATAAGAAGCCCCTCAATAACAAGTCACTCTTGATAACAAGTGTATTTTTCAAATCCCCTTGAATTTATTTTACCTCTAAACACATGTTATTGCAAACCTCAATAAGAAGTCAACCAGACTAATGTTAAAATCCCCATGAGAGTCTTGTTATCTAGGTTCTACTGTAGTATAGGTTCAAAATTACTACCTTCTTCCTATGGATCAGCCATTAAGTTATAGAAATTCAACTTTTTCCTTCACTATCACATTGCTGTTGCTTACCAACCATTAAATTCAAATGACTGTACAGTTGATGTTTTTTATATTTGTGTTTGACAAACCAGGATCTTTTTGTTCTTAAAAGCTAATTTTGTTTAAATTTTACTACACACAGTATTGCTTATATGCTGCAATGAAAAATTATGTTTGCACCTCGGGCAAAAGCAGTTCAAACATTTCCAAGTTTATGTTAAGCCTTAAACACAATCTCAAGCCTACAAAAATTATTTTCAACCCTTGGAGTAAAATATACTATGCTGCTTCGTTATAAAAAATCCACTTAGAAAGCAAGTTGTTTGGCTAACAGCTGTTGTTTATCTATCAGCTGATGATGTTTAGCTAACAAGCCAGCTGACTAGCAACATTTTCTTTGTCTCCAGGTTGTGGGGAACTTTACACCAGAAGTCACAGGATTGTTGGAGGTCACAACTCAAACTTTGGCACTCACCCTTGGCAGGTGCTGTACCTTTCCTCCATCACAATAGATTTTACTCTTTTTATTTTTTGTGTGAGCATTTTTTTTATTTCTTTTTTGTTTCCAGAACTGATTTAAAGAAGATCAATAAAGCATTAGATTATATTCAATGTTTGGATTTAATAATATAAATAAGTTTACATACATTACGTCTTCAATCCTAATTTACTCTCAGGCGTGACTAGTTTAGGGACAACAATTTACAAGCCACTTGCTTCGTAAAATCATTAGAATATTGTATATATAATTAAACTGTGTTTTTGGAACTAGTTGTCGGAAACCAAAATTAGGATTGACATCATGAGGTATATAAACCTAATTATACTGAATAAAATCAATTGTTGAGGCAATGATGAATAAAATAGATTTGGAAATCAACCGGGAATCTCAAGTGTTCAGTATATATACTGGATGACAAATTTCGGTTTTTAAAACTGTAATCTCGAAACGGAGGTTCAGAAGCTCATAATAGCAGAAAATGAATTAACAGCTGTTCATGTATTCTATAATCACTGTGTTGATGGCAGTGTACTTCTATCTATTTAAAAGTTCAGTGTCTTAATTTCAATAAACTCTTATTTTAAATACATGGTTTTAGCGAATTTCCCTATAGGGAAGTAGCTATTACTGTAGGTCTCATGGTAAGACCTAAGCCCGGGACCGATTTACTTTTTCATTTTGATGTCCCCAGAGGCCAAAAACACCATTCATTCAAATTTTTATATATCTATATATAGATATATATATACAGTATATATATATATATATGTGTGTCCATCCGCACGATAACTTGAGTAATTTTTGTCCGATTTTGATAAAATTTGGTTTGAAGGTGTAAGGCGGGATAAACTTGAATGAGTTCGCGAACCAGCATGATCGGACTATGGGAACGGGGGTTTATGGGGGTCTTTATGGGGTAAAAATAGGTTTTTCCCATTTTTGACCCTAAAAACACGAAATTTCACAATTTCTTTTTAAACCATTATGTAGAGCTTAAAAAAACAAATAATTTAGTATATTGAAGCGTTATTATGCGCCTAATTGTTACGGAGAAAATTTTAAAAAATTGTAATTTTGAAATTCCCATGTTATTCTTATGGAGAATAAGTCAACTGTTGTAGTTTGCTTGTTTATGAACATATTTTGATCGATTTTGGAAAATACTTTTATTTCTTACTAAACTATTATCATTTTATTAAAAAAAATCTTTTTTACCCTCCCTGTTGCAGCAAACCTAAGTACTCGTTTAACTAATTATATTTAAATAGGAAATAAATGTGCTACTTTTATGGAGGCATTTTAGTGTAAATCCAATCAGGTTAATGGAAATTCGCTTAGTCTGCAGGTTTGCTGCGGCGGGGGTATTTGGATTTACAGTTATGAAAGATAACTGTGTTCTAGTGTGTGACGATCTAGAGTGTGTTCAACAATATGAATGTTTTAGGCGGCCATTATCAAGACAGGTTTCCTGACCAAGAAGTTATCGTGTGGAGGAGCTCTTCTCAACAATCGCTGGGTCGTGACAGCAGCTCACTGTGTTGCTACGTAAGTACTGCAGAATTTTAAATCTTAACGTGTTTATTTGTGTTCAATTTAGGCTATGTAACACTATAACACTTGATGACTTGTTGTTTTTTCCCACTCATTTATGCTACAAGTTTGCAATTCCCATACAGTTAAAGATTGCAAGTGTTCCTTATCCATGATGACACCTAGGTTAAGTTTATAAGCGGACACAACAGTTTAGCAAATGTGTTGAAGGAGTCTTAAAATGTAGACATTAGTTTCAAGTGTGTATATTAAATATTTGTGGACACAACAGTATCTTTCAATTACAATATATAATAATGTTGGAAGACTTTTCCTAAGGGAGGATTTTAGATTGACAAACCATTAAAAAAAAAAGGTACATTTTGTCACATAGCAATGGAATTTGGCTTATATTGAAGCACTGAGACAAGCTAGGCATGATATTCTGTTTTGATGGTCATTAAAAACAAATTGTGATTAGGTCTCAGACTTGATCAAATATCTTGATATACAAAATTAATATTTGGGACTTAATGTTAAAATTGTTTGTAGAACTACAAACTCAAACCTGAAGGTTCGGCTGGGAGAGTGGGATGTTCGTGACCAATCAGAGAAGCTCCATCACGAGGAATTCAATGTCGAGAGGAAAGAGGTACATAAATATATTAGTTTTCAAAAATGTTTTATTTGAGTTTTGGTAAATGTTTCATGATTGTTGCAAGTTAATCATAGAGTACATTGAAACCTATCATCTCATTTTTAATGATTGACTAGTGATTGTTTTCAAAGTGTAAGGGATGATATATTGTTATCTATTTATCACAAGATTGAATTTCACTTTTAAGGCATTGAACTTTTTTTTTTATTTTGATCAACAAAACTGAAATATTCATTTCGGCAGCAACAAATGATGCATCGGAAATATTTATATAATCATTCCTGTTCTTTGTAAGACAGTGACGGATCCATAGAGGGAGGGGTTGTCGGCCCCCCCCCTCGGGCATACATATACATATATTTTTTACTTCATGTAATCCAGAACTGCATACAAATTGCGTAAAATAATTTGTCACACTAATTTTGGACAAAGAAATGGTATGGAATTGCCATTTTGGAGACTTAGTTTACACACATTTTTCGGAGGGGCACCCCTGAACCGCCCCAGACCCCCTGGCTCGCCCCCCCCCCCCCTTGTGACTGTTCTAGATCCGCCACTGATGTAAAGACTGAAGTATATTCTTAAAAAAACATATATATATATATTTTTCAATTCAGCATCGTCAGCTTAGGCTATGAAGGCGCTGGATGTGTTGAACAGGTTACATCGACTACATGTTGTATGATTACAGGACTTCATGCATATTTCCGTTTAATCTTAAGAATAAATGAAATATTTTGGATAAATCAGCTTAGTAATTTAATTGAATTAAAGATATTTTATCAAAAGTCTGTAAGTTTGCTGTATTTTTAGGTGCATCCCCAGTACAGTCCGACAGACTTCAGGAACGACGTTGCCCTTGTCAAGTTGGATCGCCCGGTGTTGTTCAAACAGCATATCATTCCCGTGTGCCTGCCTGATACTACGGCCAAACTTGTAGGCAAGACTGCGACTGTGGCTGGCTGGGGCAGGACAAGACACGGTCAGTCACACACACTCAAACGCTAAATCCCTAGAACTAGGCATGGTAAAGTTGTCGCCATGTTTAACTGATCCATCAACAGTGTGTTGATATAAAGTATTGATTTCTGTCAAATACCTTAAATTTTCAACCAAGTGAAACTTATTGTAAGCTCTCGCATCTTTTATGTCATGCAAACCATTTCAGTGACACAAATTAAAGCAGAAAATTGAATTTTTGACTCTACACTTTATGTCAGTTGTTCTTTTTAAATATAAACTGGAAACACCTAGTCCATATAGATGCTTCAATTCTAAAAGTCAATGCTATTCGTATCCCATTTTAATCGGTAAGACAACTGGCTAACTATATAATATAAATGCACAGTAATGCACTTCCAAGACTATCAAAGAAACGGACTTATATTTGAGGTTCATTAATGTAGTTGACTGTTGTAAGAGATAGTAATTGAAATGTCAAGTATCTTTGAGAAAAAGGTGATTTCGCTCTCAATACTTAACTGAGGAGCGACGTAAGATTATTTAATAAATACAATTATCAAACCACAGCTTTTAACTCAAGCTATACCACTTGGAAAGAAATAAGTAGGAAGCAAGACATTCTGAAGGTGGTGGAGTGTGACAGAGTCATTGAATTGTGGTCCCATACACAGTCACAGTCAGGTGAGCTGCAATGCTCTGTGAGAGTTAGGAATACTAAAACCAATTTTTGCATTCTTGGTGGTTATTGATCTCTAAATCAAAAACAGAAGTTAGGTATGCATTTTGTTTACATTATTGTATTAAATAGATAAATAAATCCATTAATACTTTGCGGCCTTGTAAAATTCACAAGATAAAATATTTTCTAGTTAAATATAAATTTTTAGTAATTATTTGTTTTGTTCATAAAACAACTGTAGCTTTTTTCTGCCACAACGGCTACAGAAATCGCAGAATATTCCTCAGTAACATTTTTCATTTTACTCAATTAGTGTTTAGCTTTGATTTTTCACTATAAGTTTTATTTTAGAAAAAAATTATTCTACAAAATTAAGTATAAAAATTGCTTACTACAAATATAAAATTTTTTTTTTAACCGGTAGAAAATTTATTCTTGTGTAATATTGGTTAATTTTTTATGACTTAAATAAAATAAAATGATGTTAAAAGTGAATATTTTGTTTTGTTTGTTGTAACGTCTGGTAAAAATATTTTGGCTGAGAAGGTAATTAATAAGGTAATTTAAGGTAATCCTCACGGCCTCACAAAAAATAAACTACTTAGAGTACTAAGCTCCACAATTCACCAAACACCCATCCCTTTTTCTCTGTTGTGTTGGTAGGAGTGTCTACAGTTCCAACAGTACTGCAGGAGGTCGATGTTGAAGTGATTCCGAATGATCGATGTCAACGTTGGTTCAGAGCTGCGGGAAGACGTGAGACGATCCATGACGTGTTCCTCTGCGCAGGCTTCAAAGAGGGGGGAAGAGATAGCTGCCAGGTGAGAACCTACCTTGAAATGTTTGCTTAAGTACAGGATGATATAAAAATAATGGTGCAAAATTAAACAGCGATTTTCTGGTTTCCTTTATTGAAACAGCTGTCAATGCCAACAATGGAAAGACCATGTTTATAATTTGTTTTTATACGGTTATAGTTTTTTATTGGCTGCTTAATTAGCTGTGCTGGAACTGGAGTCCTTATGACTGTTTAGGAAACTTCTGGAAAAAATCCGAAAAGATTCTTCTCGGCATAACTGCATCGGTACCACCTTGCGGATGGAAGTTTTGTTGGTCAGTCACTATGGCTACAGATTGAGCAAGCTTTTTTTAAGCAGCTATATTTATTTTAAAACTAATAAAAATATCATAAATTATCATACAGAAATTACAGTACATCCAGGGCCGTCCCTAGGGTTGGCGGTGCCCGGAGCAAACGTGGTGGTGGCGCCCCCTCTCCCCCCAGTAATAGTCAGTCGCATTCGCATATTTTAATACTATGTTAATACAAATAGCCCTGGTTGCCCCCCCTCCTTCGGATGGCCCTGAGTACATCATGTATTTTTTATTTCAACTATGAACTACGAACCTATTTTAAGCTGGATTGTCTAGTGAAAGAAATAATAATTACTCTTGAAAAAAGGGTGGGTTAGGGTCCCTCCAGGTACACAATGCAATAATGTTTTATAAATTTCAAAATTCTCAATGTTTGTCTCAGGGGGACTCGGGAGGTCCGCTGACCACAACCATCGACGGACGCAAGGTTCTGATTGGTCTGGTGTCCTGGGGCATCGGCTGCGGAAGAGAACATCTCCCAGGCGTCTATACAAACATACAGAAATTTGTTCCTTGGATAGATAAAGCGATGGTTTGAACGTATCCTGTACATAAGCTCTCTTTGAGTTATTTATTAATGTTTTTTCCACGGAAGGAACTCAAAGTACATACATTATGTATTGCTCGTATTTATATCGAACTAATCGTGTAGCCTCTTTATTCGATTGAAAAATTAAATTTTAAGCGTGAAGTCTAAAAATTAATTTATAAATTACGTTATTTATTTTAACAATAGGACCTTGTGATACAGTTTTCCAGATCTCAACTCTGTGACTTGAAGTCATGGTGGATTTTTATTTTAATAAGAAATCATTAAGCATATAAGTATAAGTGAACATGAGATATCTTTGATTCTATTTGGTTGATTGACATTGATTCAATGTCAAAATCAGGTATGTGTCAATGAAAGCACAGCACTGAACACTCTAGGCGACTGATTTCTGTATATGTCAAGTCTTATACGTTAACAATCTACCAATTGATGATCTAGAGATCGATTTACAACATTTGTAAAAACCATTAAAGATGTTAAAATGAATTTTAATTGAAAAATAAAAACTTTTTTTTAATACTTAATACTTTTCAATCAAATGGCGACCATACAAAGTAAAACCATTGAAATGACCATTTAACTTGTAGTTGTGTAGTATACTTTTAAAAAACTGACTATCAAACAAATGTCTCATGCTGTTTATACACTTAAGCTGTCAACTGTAAATAATGATCATTTTACTGTGTCACAACTTTTATTTATTGTGGCAAATAAAAATCTACAAAAGAATTAAACTGTATTATACATTTATACTGTCATACTTAGTGTTTAAAAATAAAATACTCGATAGTCTCAGTGTTTATTTATACCTTGAACTACCGGTATCCAACATTGTACATATTGCTTCGAAATAATGGTAACAGCTGATCGCATATAATTACAAAACAAGATGTCCATTTTGAGTACTTATATTGATAAAGGTAAACAATGCACAAAATTTACGTTTTATGAAATGTAGCTTTAAGAATGTTGCAATACAGCAGAGTCCCGCAAACTCGGCACTCGTTAACCCGGCAGTCTGGATAACTCGGCCATCACCTGCCTCAGAAAATTAGTGATTTTTGAGTCCGAGTTAAACATGGACTCAAGCCAGCTCAAGTCAAATCATTCGCAACTCGTACCAAGGATTTGTTGTACTATATCTGATTACTTAAAACTGGCTTGTAATATAAATATAAATAAAAAAGGCGGTTAAAAGGCTTAAAAATTGTATTGTTCTTATTTTTAACCCTAGTTCCCGATAACCTGGCATTTCATAAACTCGGCACCTTCCAGTCCACATTATGCCAAGTTTGCGGGACTCTACTTTATCACCAAAAATTGTTTAACTGCTGGTAAAAATGTAAGTGTCTTTCCAACCCTGATTATTTTTCTAACCTCAGCTGTTAAACTTGAAACTAGATACTTTTAGCCCTAGTAACAAACACATTAATTAAACACATTAATCCAAAGGGCGTTCAACTATAAAGCTGAAAAAGCTACTAAATTAGCTAACATTTTTCATTAAACTTTCTTATAACTAATTAGTGATTTTAATTTTGGGGAACCATCTTTGATTTTGCTGTCCTGATTAACAACTTGGACAGAACAGAAGAACATAAATTCTATATGACACAGCTTCATGTATCGGACCAATGAATGTGTTAATGAGCTTCAAGTTTTATTTATCTTTATTATTATTAAAGTTTTATTTGATCCCAAGATTCAAATAGTTCTCACAGTCATCAATCACAGATAACGATTATTAATACAATAAAAACAATATACTGATGATAATTATATATGTAAGGCTTTACCTACCTTTTCTTTCCACGGAGTGAAAATTAACAATAATTGCTTTATTTATTGTTCGTTTAAGTTGATTAACAGATAGGTTTTCCATGTATAACCGAGACCTTCTTTACGTCTACACAGAGTACCAATTGATGAAGCTGTTGTTTGTACTCATTAAACCTAATGTTAATTAAATACAATTTAGGCGAATGGAAATTTGCTTCGTCGGCAGGTTTGCTGCAGCGGGGGTGTTTATGAATCTGTTAAATTTTATGATGCTCTGAAGGCTGGACATTGTTTTAAAGGTAATTTTATTTATATACTCATAGGTATGTGTCACAATTTCATTTTCTTTAGTTTTTTTTTGCCATAACTGCATGGTTTGCTGATTTGTTTGCTGTGTGAGATTAACTAATTTCAGCATGGTTTGTAATGATGAACGTTTCTTTTATTTATATGAATTGGTTTGTTTTATGTTTAGCATAGTTTTGACATTCTATTGTATTTTATTACTGAATAATATAATAAATCTCTTGAATCTTGAGTAATTTTTAGACACAATCGGTAAAATAATCCTATAGTGTAATTCAACTCAATCACATAATTAAATAGCAAAAAGTAATAAATAATATTCATATTTTATAATAACGTGTTATGGAATCAAATACAATACAATCTAAAACAGATAATTCACAAATAGCCTACAGTATTGATAACGATAAGATCAATGATTATGAAAATCATAGCAATCGATTTAAACCGGTGAGTCGCATATATGAGGGTAATGGTAGATTCAGGGTTATTTTAGGGTAAAATTAAAAGTTAGCATAACAGCAGAAATTTAATTAGGAACATGAAAAAAACTTAAAAATTTGGGAAAAACATACATTACATAATATCATGGCAAACCTGTGATATGCAACTCAACCGGTTTATTTTAATGGTATAAATTAATTATTTAATAGTATAAATAATGTAATAAGAGAAATTGAAATTCGCTTAGTCTGCTGGAGGCGGCATCACTAATAGAGGATTGAATTGAGGGTTATAAGCCAATCATCGGTCTCAAGTAAGAGACTCGACTCTCGGCTTTTTAAATATTAGAAATATGATTATTTGAAGAATCCAGGATATGCATGTAATTAGGAAAGAAAATTGGGGAGGTCATATACCAGCTACTACAAAGTCACTGCGAGAGTCTGCAAGTAAAAACCGCGTTTTCAGCATACTAACACTGGTTTAAATAGAAAAAACGTGATTTTTTTAAATCTATGTTAGGTTTCTTTGTTTCGGAAAGGTTCAGTTTTTTATTGCACCTAATAGAATTAATAATATAGATAAATATATTAAACGACAGTGGGTTAAAATTGGAAATTCAACTCGGGAGACACCTAGCGGCAGTTTAGACGAACTGTTGCGAACGTCAAAGCGAAAGCGCACATTGTGGCGATGGCGACTGAACTGACTTGACTAGCGAAGTGAGTGAAGTGAAGTGAGTGACGACAAGACGACTACGAAACGAACGGAACGAGTTTGGATTGGATTGGAGCGATTGGAGGAGCTGGTTGGTGAGGTTAAGACAGAAGAGGGAAGAGGTTAAGCTTTTAAGTTTCATAGCACAAAAAATCGTTCAATACACGACGCTAGGAATAATTTAAGTGGATTGAATAAAGAATCCCTTAAAAATGTAAGTAACTTAGGCTTATGGCTTATCATTTCATTGAAACAATGATGTAGGCTAGCAGCAAAATATTTAACCAACTCCAACTAGGCCTAGGTCCTATCTCGCTACTGTATTGGTATCCTAGTTGTAGTGGTAGGCCTAACATTGGTACCATCAAACCATCTATTTACTATTTAGGCTACCAACAAGATCGTTGCAAAAACATTGATATATTTTACTATAACTTAATCGTTTGCTTTCTGCCTTAGCTAATTAACTTAGATATTAGCTAGAAGATTGGTCTTAGGCCCATTTGATAATTGGTGCCGTGATGGGATAAATGTTTGACATGCTAGAGCAGACGTGCTGCCGCTGAAATTTATTAAAATTAATTGATTTTTGGAAGCTTTTAAGTTAGTACATGACCCTCAACATTCTATTAGAGCCTATCTCATTCCCCAGATATCAAAGTGTTACCTACCTTCTTCCAATTTTAGAATAATTTTACTTAGGCTAGGTTATTAAATAATAAGTACCTTATATTTATTTATATTATAAGTATAACCTAGCAATAAGCTATTTTTTTCCTAGGGCGCTAGGCACGAGTCTGGGATTTTTTTACATTAGTTCAGGCTAAACCTAGGGGTTGCGGCATTAACTTATCACTTAACATAGCCTAGATAAAATTCATTGGTGATTTGGCGGGATTTTAACCCGGGACCTCAAGGGACTGAAGTCCCGCACTTTACCACTAGACCAGCTCGCTCTCAAAGCGATTCTTATTAGAGTAAGTTAGGCCTAGGCCTGGCACCTAACTTAAACTCCAAAGATATTAAAATGGAATTTTGATTAGGCTAGTCTAATTTTTAGGGTCTTTGATTAGGCTCTCTAGCCCAATTTTGATCTCTATTAAAGTTGATTGTATTTTGTTGTAATAGGCAATAGGTATTGTTGTCTTGACAATGCATGATATTTGTTGCATGTTATTGTATAAAAATCTAATGTGCAAATAAACAATTTTATTTTATTTGAATAGGTCTGCAGCTACAAAACCCAAGTCAGAAATGAGCCAGGAAGAATTAGCTAGGAGGGAAGAAGAGGAATTCAACACGGGACCGTTGTCAGTTTTAACACAGTCTGTGAAAAACAATACACAGGTATGTATGTTAAGCTGGAGTGAATATAGACTCAATCTGATTCATTAAAAGAGTTAACTAAGGCTAAAGAGCTAAGACCTAAGTTATGTTCAGTTAATTCATTTAAGACTGGTCTCACGTAAGGTTACCTTGGGGGCTTTGTTACCGAGTAAGATCAGCTGTTTTTAAGCTTTGCTTTAACCAAAAGTATGGAAAAAAGGTCATAAACTCTTCAAGACAGTGTTACAAGTGTAGCTTCGTTATTGCATTTTGTGGCACAGTCTTGTCCAATCGCCACGGCTGGCCAATGGGGACATGGTAACTGAGTTGACTTACATGTTACCCTGACGATTTGAGCTCTGAGGTCTTTCTGCATTCAAGATTTTGATTCTTTTTTTAAAACAAAAAGAGGTTGGCGGCCTCTTAAAACTTGCATTTGCCCGTCCACATAGACTAGCCTACAGGTCTGTGTGTGGAACGTATCCAGCAAAGTAAGTGGTGAGCCGGTACAGTACAAAAGGTGAACTGTACTGTACTGATAAAATGTTTGTGGCAGTGACCAGGATCCAAAACTTCGACATCACTGCCTTGGGCCCGAAGTCCATGACGCTACCAACTGAGCCACCGACTCACCTAAGAAATTAACCCTAGCGCTGGCAAACGCCGGATATACGGCGCGAACGGCCGCGGCCGAAATGGCAACGCCGGATATACGGCGCCAATGCAGGTGTTACGGTAGGCCTATATAACTTTTTTTTTTTTAATAGTTTTTTTTGCTTTTTAGGGCAACTTTTGTAATAAATAAGTTAAATAATTCAAACCAGAGTACCCTGGAATTATATATTATGTAAGTTGTACGGTTTTGTACATGACCTGGGTTGGATGATTATTTGGTACTAGCGCGGGGGTACGATCAACATAATAATAGGGCTATCAAACAAAATACACAAAGTAAGCTATATAAACTATATATTTTTGGAATCAGCACAAAATTTACTACAACTTTACAATTTAGCTTATGATGATAAGTCTAACCTGCACTTAGCTACACGACGGAATATAAAACATTTTATAAAAAAATTAATAATGCCTAAAATTCGGAAAAACTAAAAAAAAATTTTTTTGTGGTAACCATGTAAACCACCTATATTATTGTTCTTTGTTTTATTCTGAACAAAATGATATATAATAATCCATAGTTATGTTGCTATTTCTAATTTTTATGATGGTTTAAAAATGATATTACATAGTTAATAAAATCCCTATGCCAGTACAGCGTTACACTACTGCCAGCTCTAGGGTTAAAAGGTTAAATTAGAAGGTGATTCTAATACCTGTGCATTGAATATTAATCTTACTAATGTGGCTTAGCCGTTGGGTGGGCTATCACAATAAACAAAGTCTGGCTTGGGATGAAGTTGACGGGGCGATCCCCACACAACATCTGTTTGTCTTCTCTTTACATTTCGCATAGAGGTGAACACAGATTTTACATTTTTCTTTTTGCATTATTTTGGTTAGGCCTATATGTGAACATCATGTTCAAATGTATATATGCTATAAAAGAGCCATATAAAAATTCTGAAACATGTCTAGTTTTACAGGCTTTCTGACACAGAATTTGTTAGACAAACAAGTAAACCACAAAATTCTCATGTTTAGAATACAAATTTAAAATTACTGTTAATAACTTGCGGTATCAAAACTGAAGAATATTCACATTAGTTTTCTTTGCTCACCAGTTTATTAATTAATTAAAACTCTATGACAATCACACCCGCATCGCCAGACGACTTACAGTGTAATAATAAGTCACCCCCTCTGCCACCCCACCAGTGCCACACCCCAACTGCTCACAGTTCAAGATCATACCTGTATATTAGCCTATATCAATAGTCAATTATCTCACACCCACAATAGATCCTGGAATGGTTTCCTGTGCGGTCCTGCATTCACTCTGCCATGGATAGATAGTGTTAGCGGTAATAGTTTCTGGATAGTGACGACAAACTGTTGCTATTATGTTCAGCATCCCAAAGAACTAAATGGATCCAACCAATTATTCGAAGAAGAAACCAATTCGGCCGATTTCACCATATAACGCATGACCTAATGAATGGTGAGGGAGGGTAAAAGCCTAGTTTGCTAATGTGCATTCGCCTATTCGCACATAGCTAGTTGGCATAATGGCAGCAACATTGTCTGCGTATTAACCCTTTAGAGACCGACTCTATATGACACGCTGCTAGGACCAAGGTACTTTTAACAGTTTCTGCAATGTTAGACAAAATGCTATAGGCTAACTTTTGAATAGCAGCCCTCATTAACATTTCTTGCATGCTGTTGATTTTTTTTTATATTAAAACTTATTGTTTATTTAAACTGTTGATACATCGGAATTTTGTCTTTTTAGCAAAAAAATACTAACTTCCAAAAAATCGTAAGTTGGTCTCCTAAGGGTTAATTCAGTGGTATGAACATGCTCATTTAAATAGCATTAAGTGCTATGTTAGTGGCGTCTATGATGTGAAAAGTTTTTTAGGCATACATAAAACACCTACAGTAAATTACAAACTACCTATCTTTGTTTTATAAAATGTGTATATTTTTTCAGGTTTTAATCAACTGTAGAAATAACAAGAAGCTGCTGGCTCGCGTAAAGGCATTTGATCGGCATTGCAACATGGTTCTGGAGAATGTCAAGGAAATGTGGACTGAACAACCTGCGACAGGAAAAGGAAAAAAGAAGGTGAATATAGATTGGCTTGAACTTCTTGTTCCAACATGTCTGCACTTTATTAAACCTAGTAAGGATTCCAAAGCTCATTGAAATGTGCTTTACGAGGGGTCCGCGGAGTTGGCTAACTCTGGAACTCGCTAACCCCATTTTAAACACCCTCTCTTCAAATTTGGTCGATGAGAGGAACTCACTAACTTGTTCGGTTTCGGAATTGGCTAACTCCGGAACCCGCTCTAGAACCGGGATAGCGAATCCCGTCCTCGTACGGAAGTCGCTAACTTGGTCCATCGGCGGAACTCGCTAACTCCCAATCAGAAGCCTCGCGGGCCGTCCAATGGGAGCCAAGCACGAAAATTTTTGGCCAGTGTTGCCGAAAGTTTAGTACCTATATCGTTTCCGCACTATAATGTCGTATTCTACAAATAATTAGGAGTAAGAGCAACGTAGTCGATAAAATAAATATATTTAGAAGTATGTTTATTATTATTCTTATGATTATTAGGGTGGAAAATGCATTATAGTCTTACCATAGACTAACCAACACAGAACACAAGTAAACTTTACATCTCAATGTAAACTTTGTAGCTCGTTTTTTGTGTCTAGTTCATGTCCGGTGACACTGATCGATCGCTAGTGTCGACGAAATTTTGTTTCTATTATTTTATAGTTAACTTCATGATTTGTTCTTTACTGTTTGGTTATATAACTAGGGGACGTGTTATTAGTTGTGATTAGAAAATTTTTATTTGGTTAAAAGAGGTTTTAAATGACTGAAAACAAAAAACAATTATTGTAAACAAAACACAACCTCTAAAGACAGTGCACCAGTCAGAACTAACAATACAACTGTCTTCAGCTGATCCATAAGGATGAGAAATGTACTAATATAAGGGAGTGTGTTTTATATGTGGTTTTCTTACTTAAATAGTAGTTTATTGGGATACAAAAAGATAATACTGTACATTTAATTTGGATCTTTTACATGTTATGAAATGTCTATTTTCGTAGTCCCCCAATCGTTTCTTTTATTCGAATAAATACCATTTTGTGAACATCTGCAAATAAAATGATTAAGTTCATATTTTATATAGCCTACTGGGCTTGTCATCTTGAATCATAAATTAAGATACAATTTGCACATTAAACGTCATTACAGAAATACATTGTAGTGGTAATGTATTTTTAAATAGAGCTATTGAATTTAAATAAATATTTATCAATACATTATAAAGTGGTAGGCCTAATGTATTCATGGATTGCATTAAAAATTGGTCTATGCATAAATAAAACTTGTAAATTTCTGTTATCGTAGGCTATTAGTGTAAAACCCGGGTCATCCTCTTAATTTTGTTCAATTAATATTAATTTTACGTCTTTCAGTTGGCCTACTTTTTAAAAGTCTGGAGTTTTTATGGTTCTAAATGGACCCAGGCGTTCTTTTTTGTTACCATATTTATGAACTATTAATGAATTCAGTTTAAACAGTAGAATTAAGTAACAGTAGTTGACGATCCAGAGGCCACACCATCATGAAGAACAAGATAACAACAGTAACAACAGGATAGGCTATATTAACAAAAATAAATAACAATGCAATAAATAGAAAGTTTGGAAACATGCAAAGATTGATGCAGGAGTTCAGGATAGAGTAGGAGTTCTTTCAGGATGGAATAGGACAAATGTCGAAGGTAAGCATTTCCCTCAGTAAACCGATGCCAACACACGCACAAATTTTATTATATGAATATAATATCTTCTCCTATTATTTACTAGTAGGTAGTGCTTAGGTCTACAATCTAAAAACTGTTTTAAAACATGTAACATTATTACTAAAAAATTCAACACATTTTAGAATTAGGCAACTATTTACTAGTAGGCCTACAACACTTTGCTTTAAACCATTATGCCTAGATTTAGGCCTACAGAGCTATTCTATGAATTGATATTAGTTGGATGAAAATGAAGTTTGATGATTCAACGACGAACCTTTAATTTTAAATCTATGAATTAGTTATAGTACAGGTAAAATTATACTAAAAAACCAGTAGAAAACATAAAAATTAGTCCATTCATGAAACTTTCAGGAAACGTAGTAATTACCATTAGGTATTGGAATCTAAAGAGTCCCTAGTGATTGTGGGGGTGGAAGTACCATTTTATGGGGTTTTAAGTTTATGGGGGTAGTGATTTTGAGAAAATTTTTATTTATGGGATCCAAGCAAGTGGGGTGTCGTTTTCTATGTTTCTTAGGATGCAGAACCGAAAAAGAACATGATAAAAGCAATAAAACCGACAGTTTATCAGAAAAAGACTAATTTATTAATGAAAAACTAAATATGACAAATTAATTAAGGTAAAATAATCCAGTTAATTAATATCAATCACCTATTACAAAATTGATCATGAGTCTGTGTCACATGTTAAAGTTGTGAGGAAAATTAACCAGAAACTGGAAGTTACGACTCTTTAACCACCACGTGTCATATTGTTCATCAGCTACTGATGCATCATCACCTTCCATGGAATCGTCAGGGTCTCTAACTCGTTCTTCTCCATCATCGTTTTGACTTAACACTGACAGCTTAGTAGTGGGGATGGGTAGCAGAAACATATTTCAGTTCTGGCGATGATCCTGCAACTTAGGGTGAAGATAATATATAAGACCAAGTATGTAAAACCGCCCAGACCCGAATTTTTAAGGACCTTGGTCGCCCGTAATGACGACATCAATATGGCGCTCGTAAGACGATGCTGGGTCGCCATGAATTGGTTATTATACCAAAATGCCTGAACAGATTTTAATTAAATTTGGCATACAAGTGCTTGAATAATATATCTAATCCCAGTTTGTCAATGGTCGAGTTTGGTTAGGTAATTTCAAAATGGCGGCCGTTAATAATTGAAATAATTAAAAATTGTTTAATGTTTTGTTTTTTCAACTCTCTCCAGAAATCTGCAGCGATATTTCATTTTCCTTGCAATCACAGGTTGTGATGCCATCTCTGGCAACTAACGTCCTTTCAAAAGTACACGTCTACAGCCATTAACGCTGTTAAAGTTTGATGTCATATCATATAGAAAAGTACAACAAATCTTTGGATTGATTCTAACGAGTTCGCAATCCAGCATGATCAGACCATGGGAACGGGGTTTTTGGGGGGAATTTATGGGGTCAAAATTGGGTTTTGTCATGTTTATAACCCTCTATAACATTTTACAATTTCTCTCTAAACCATTTTGGATACCATGATGAATTTGAATACCTTAAAAACCAAATAATGTTGTTTATTGAAGTGTTTTTGTACGGATATTGGTTACCTACCGAGAAAATTCAAAAATTTTAAATTTATCATTCACATTTTATTCTTATGGAGAATAAGTAAACTGTTGTAGTTTACTCATTTATGGATATATTTTGATAAAACTTGGCAAATTTATTTATTTTGACCTAAGCTATAATGTTTTAATAAAAAAAACAAAAACACACACTTTATTATCCTCTCCGTAGCAGCAAACCTAGGTACTAATTAAACTTAATGTTATTGAAATAGATTTAATTGAAAATCAAATCAGGCAATTGGAAACTCACTTAATCTGCAGGTTTGCTGCGGTAGGGGTATTTTGCCTATTCCATGAAATGCAGGGATGGCATCACAACCTGTGATTGCAAGGATAATGAAAGATCGCTGCAGATTTCTGGAGAGAGTTGTAAAAACAAAACATTAAACAATTTGTAATTATTTTAATTATTAACGGCCGCCATTTTGAAATTACCTAACCAAACTCGACCATTGACAAACTGGGATTAGATATAGTATTCAAGCACTTGTATGCCAAATTTAATTAAAATCGGTTTAGGCATTTTGGTATAGTAACCAATTCATAGCGACCCAGCATCCTCTTACGAGCGCCATATTGATGACGTCATTACGGGCGACCAAGGTCCTTAAAAATTCGGGTCTGGGCGGTTTTACATACTTGGTCTTATATATTATCTTCACCCTAAGTTGCAGGATCATCGCCAGAACTGAAATATGTTTCTGCTACCCATCCCCACTACTAAGCTGTCAGTGTTAAGTCAAAACGATGATGGAGAAGAACGAGTTAGAGACCCTGACGATTCCATGGAAGGTGATGATGCATCAGTAGCTGATGAACAATATGACACGTGGTGGTTAAAGAGTCGCAACTACCAGTTTCTTGGTTAATTTTCCTCACAACTTTAACATGTGACACAGACTCATGATCAATTTTGTAATAGGTGATTGATATTAATTAACTGGATTATTTTACCTTAATTAATTTGTCATATTTAGTTTTTCATTAATAAATTAGTCTTTTTCTGATAAACTGTCGGTTTTATTGCTTTTATTACGTTCTTTTTCGATTCTGCATCCTAAGAAACATAGAAAACGACACCCCACTTGCTTGGATCCCATAAATAAAAATTTTCTCAAAATCACTACCCCCATAAACTTAAAACCCCATAAAATGGTACTTCCACCCCCACAATCACTAGGGACTCTTTAGATTCCAATACCTAATGGTAATTACTACGTTTCCTGCAAGTTTCATGAATGGACTAATTTTTATGTTTTCTTAGGTGAGTTTTACCTGTACTATTATGAAAGTTACGATGGTTGATGACTGTATTAATTAATGGTTTTGGTTTATTACGATATTACAATTAAATTTGTTTTCCGTGTTTGAGAACTTGCGTGTATTTTAGCTTCATTTTGTAAAGGTTTAATTATCTAGTACGGTACCAATTAAATGGAATTTTCAATATTTTCATATTCTATTATTTTCTTTTATAGGCCTACTGATGGCATTTATTTTTAAGATCGAAATCATAAAAATTTAATTGGCCTTTGTACAGTTAAATAAAAAAACGCATTTTCATGATTTTTTAAATGTCTTTGAATTACTTTGGGCTAGTTATCTGTTAAAAGTGGAATTGATAACAAAAAACAATAAAATTTACTGTATGTTCATTGACAATGACATTTTGAAATAAGGCAGTGTACGATTATTTCGTCATACAAGGTTGGCAACCTCCGTGCAGTGGGCGTGACCGGGATAGTGACTTCCAGAGTTAGCGAATTCCGCCGCGAGACAAAATCGAGTTAGCGGGTTCCGGAGTTAGCCAATTCCTGATTGAGACGGTTAGCCAATTTCCAGAGTTAGCCAGTTCCGACACACGACCGGGTTTGCGAGTTCCTGAGTTAGCCAATTCCTACATCTCCTTTACGAGTGATTCACTTACAGGAGTTAATCTAAAAAATTGTTTGATATATTCCAAACTTTGAAATAATAACCACGTGCATGATTCAGCTGGAATACCTCAAATGTTGAGGTTGTTTCAGCTAAAGGTGTTTATTTTTAAACGACATGGTTTTTGCTTTTAGGCAACATTTTATAAATACAGTTAGATAAATATTTTTAGACAGTGCTCATCTTTTTGAATTAAGAGGAATACAGTCCTTGTGAGTCCCTAGAGCCAAGTTTCCATTACTCTAAGTCGCAGGTATATGTCGCGCACATGGGCCATAAGTTCCGCGACTACGACTGACATAGGATGTCAATTCTCTTATTGTGATGAGTTTTGGTATTTAATTAAGATTATATTGTGTTCTACAAATCACTATGGATGACATATCAGCCACTGCTTCTTTAATTATGGCTGGTGCATGTTATAATGAATTTAGAAGAAAAATACAAAAACTGCCCGGATGTTCAATATGATAAGTAGTTTTTATGGCTATAATAAAGTGGCTACGAAAATTTTCTTCTTATGACTTTCCATGATTTTGAATGTTTATAAGAACTGAATGTAGGCCTACAGGCAATTGAGAAAAACAGTGATTGTCGAAAACCTATTCCTCCTGAGAAGCTACCACTAAAATTTTTAGCTACGGGCAATAGCTACAGTTCATTGATGTATCTTCACAATCACATGAGATGAAAATCAACGAGATCAAGATTCATACCTGTAGTGTGCATGCACAGCCATTGTTGTAAGAGCTACATTCAGATAAGAATCGACCCGACAAATATCTATTAGGGATGGACGAGATTGGATTTTTAGTTCGAGACGAGATTTTTTATTTCTCATAAAATTTCAAGACGAGATTGAGACGGGATTTCCCTTCTCATACACAACGGGAAATGCACGTTCAAAATTTTTACCTGATTTTGTAACATTGTTAGATGACTGTTCAAATACAAAAATAATGATAATAGGCAAGAATATTTACAATATATTATTAAAAAACATCAGCATAACATTTTTTTATTAATCACGCCTAACTTATTAAAAATGCCTACGATTAGGAAACATAGTGATATCAGTAAGGATAGAGTTAAACTTATCCTAAAATTAAATAAATCATAAAATAAAAGCAATATTAATTTTTATAAAATAGTTACTTGTTTTGACTTTTTATAGTAATAAAACATTCCTCACACTGCTTACACTTAACAAAACTTCTCAAATGTTATTAAAGTAATATTATTAAAATAATTAAAGTAATATTTACATTAAAAGAATTTTTTAAATAAAAACGCCTTCGCAAAGGAAACGCAACTGCAACACGCTCCTGTATTGCGGGTATTGCATGGACTTTCTGCAGGCGTTTTTAATTTTTTTTTTTTAATTCTCGTCTCGATAAAAATCTCGGCCAAAAAAATCTCGTCTCGTGTAACGAGAATTAAAATTTCCCGAGATTTCGAGACTTGACCATCCCTAATATCTATACAACCTTGAATAAATCTATGATCTATCCATCTATATATATATATACCTACTATAGATGAAATAATTTTCTTGATATTTTATTGACCATAATTATCAACTCCTAAATATTTTTCTAGACATATTTGGTACAGTATAAAATTAAAGGTCTTATATTAGATGTGCGTTTTTGTAGGTTTGAGTGATATTTCTAAAATGCCTTAGTCCTTTGGCTGTTAAAATTTTAATGTATGTGGTAATAGTAGTTGTTCGACAGACCTGCGCAGTGGGCGTGTGCCGACTGTTTCCATTCCAAACTGGACACATGTTTTATCGCGCAGTTGACGAGCACAAAAGTCGCACAGGCACTTGTGCCAGGCTGTTTCCATTCCTACAAAATATGTCTAGGTTTATTATATGAGTTTATTATTTATGACTTATATACAGCAATATTAAGGTAGCCTATTGATGTATTCAGTCTTGTGTTTAATTTAGTTACTTTTATTTATCAATTACTTACTCCCATGACCATTTATTCTTGAGAATTAATTTGACCACACCAACTTACTTCCCCCACTCCCTCTGATCTGGCCCATATTCTTCATCAGCTCATCTACATTCTCATGTCTGTGGCTTCTTTGTCCATACCTTCATTGGTAATCAGGGGTCTCCTTTTATACGGAATATAATCTGCCTCATCTCAACCAATAATACAATCTCTAAAATATAGTGTAAGCCATAGTAATGTTTCAATATAGACTGGGTTTTCTGTACATTTATTATTACTAGAAGAGGTCTTCCAGTGGTTGAAAACTCGACCAAAAGTATCTTCAAACTTCTCTATTTTCACCCTACGCTGTAAATAAAACATGTGATTGTTATTTCTTCCATTTGTTTTGATTATCTGTTTATATTGCGTTGTTATTTCGTCTCCAGCATGGCAACCCACAAGGTCCATGTAATTTTTTTTATTTATAATTCTTTTTTTGTGCTTATTTTTTAGTCTATTTAATTTATGAAGGGATTCTACACATCTATGGAAATATATTTCCAACAGTATGCCCCTGCGATGCACACAAGCTGAGAAAAAATGTTTTAAGGAAACATGCTTGCCTATTAATAAGTGGATTTTTAACCTAATTATTCTAATTTTTCCAGTCCAAGCCAGTCAACAAGGACAGATTTATCTCCAAGATGTTTCTCCGAGGCGATTCAGTCATTTTAGTGCTTAGGAATCCTCTCGCCACTGCAGCTGGCAAATAATCTCAAACCTGTGAATTCTTGAAAATATAAACTATTTTTGCAATTCTAGTTTTATTGTCCTTTTCTTTTTAAGTGATTGTATCAGAGTGGTCAACTAATTCATAGAAAACCTTTGTAGCTGGTTGGATTTTGCACCGTCACTCTCAACCAAGAATTTATCCGAAAATCTAATTATTTAATCCAGACTGTTCCCCTGACACATTCGGGTGAACCTTTTCAAGTGCACTGTAAAAGTGTTCATTTTTAAAATTTCACCCAAACTAATTACAAACCTCGAACTTGTTGTGCACAGAACACTAAAAAAGGCACTTCCCTATATAGGAAATCACCAGAATAGTAAATTCACCAGTAGTAGTAGTTGTAGAGGTTATCTTTGGTAGGTATGCAGAGCTAAATTTATATGAGTTTTGCATTGGCATTAAATGTGACAAACAAGAAAAAATTTAGTTTTATCAAATGTACTTTGTACCATAGAGTAAATTAATTTTTGCATGTAGCACATTTACCAAGGGTTTCTGGTATATCCATTGCCTTGCCATAGATTATTTTATTCAGTCATTTTAGTTCAGATGGTCCATCTGTTAACATTAAAATATATTACATAATATTATTAACTGTTTCACTTTTATTATTTTGAGAAAACCTTTTCTTGCCTTGTGCAGTACAGAACTGCATATTCAGTGCATAACTAGTTCCAATGTAAAATAATCAAAGGAGATTAACTCAAACAAACATGTTAGTATTAATGAAATGGTAACCAAACTAACTAACAATAAGACTTCTACATCTAAACATTTTTCCCATTGTTTTTTAAGCAATTATATGAAGGTTTACAGCAAAACCTCACTAACTCGACAATATTATATGGATCTTAAGTTTGTTGAGTTTTCCAGAACATTGAAATTTTTTAACGGGTTTTAATAAACGAATACATCACAGACTAATTTTTACATATTAGTTTGTTACTTAAGTGAGTATTTTTACATATTTAGTAAACAATATTCAACAATTAAAACTAAGTGTTCTGAAAATTTGTTTTTTTACTTGCCCCTGTCAGCTGTTGTCTGTCGAATTCGTGAGGTTCTAGGTACTGTTTCTGTGTACTTATGATCCATCAAAAAAAATTTGTTGGAATGAAAACTAAATAAAGAACAAGGTATTTTTTGTATAATAGTAGAACTTTGGGTGTATTAAGTTACACAATAACTTTCATTTTCTTTTTTCTTCTATTGTGTATCTTTTAGTAATTTTTCCTGGTATATAGTTGTTGGTACAAAAAATAGCGCCTATGTAATTTTTTAGTTCATTTACTGCATTAGTCATGTCACAATCTCTTATTATAATAAAATGGATCTAATTTCTCCCAGGAAAGTAATAGAAAACCGTAGTATTTTTTCAGTAAATAGGTTAAGCTACATTGTCCATTGCCAAGTGGCTCTAGGGTAATTGGCAACATATTACCATAGTTGTTTTGAAGCAAATTGCTTCATTATTAATTCACAAAGTACATGGTCAACCCTTTCAACCGGTGTAGTGATTTTGAGCCCCGCACTGAAGTGGTTGCAATTATATTGCTAATCACTGGGTTATTTTGGACCCCAAACCTCCAACAATCGCAGGACAATACATCTGCTGGAATTGCTAAGAAATACAACCCAATGTCACTCTTGGAGACAGCGAAAATGCATTCAATGACCTCTATTGGAAAACTTAGGTAAGACAACACAATTTTAACTAACTCAACTATCTACTACTACTATCTAATTTTGTTTGAACATATTCTTTGTCGGGACAACTATTTCTGACACATGTTTTAAGTTTTATCCTTTTAATATTGTCAAATAAACGTCATAAAACAAATACACAACTCTTAAGATGTTCTGAAAACAATTTTCGCAGAGATATCTGGATGGGAGATCACTTTATTAATATACAGGGTGACAAGTCTTGGGACGACTTTATAACTTCAAAACGAAAAAAGATATCACAACTAAATCTGGCATATCATTACTGGTAATAGTTGGCTACTTTTTTGTATCCATGGTGAGTGGATGTCACTTATATTGGTTGGCCTATAGTAATTTAAAAATCTTGAAGGTAAGCAAAGGTTGATATGTAGACCTATTTCAGCACTATGCTGCCCTTGGGCTCAACCCCAAAAATATTGTTGTCTTCTATAAACATTGTAAATTTGTTTAAGCAAAACTTTGTAAACTTCCTAAGGTTTGGGTGTTTAATAATTTACTATGGGTAGCTAAGAGTAATAACATGCAATAAACATCCATAAAGGTATGGTAACTATAGCTAAGCTGTACTGAGTCTTGTGATGAAGCGGTATACAGTCAGCAAGCTAACTCAATTGTCAATCAATCATCAACTAATTGAGATGGGGACGCCACCTAGGTGGGTATTTTAAATTTTAACCCAAATATGAGTGAAGGATGAGTGTAGAATGGTGTGAGATGATCTGTGTAGCTTTGTTACTGACTAAGATCAGCTGTTTAATTAGCCAGGATTAATTTAAAGTCTAATGATCAGGGACAGCTGGGCCCAGTTTTGAAAAGCTACTGACTTTTCTCAGGATCGAACCAGGAACATTTTGATTGTTAGGCGAGCATTATAACCACTCAGCTACCCAGCCAGTCACTAACAGATTGTGATAACAATTGTAACTTGTGCTGTTACAGCAACTACTCGAGACTTAAATTTTTCATCCTTCAAGTACAGGAAAAGACAATTACGAGATCTTTTCCCAACCATTATATGCAAAGTTCGTTTCGGTGTTGTCTATCACCTAATTAAAAATTATTTTAACAAAATAAAAGTATTTACCTACAAACTATTGATTTGGTATTATAACCAAATATGATACCAAATACATGCTCACATTGTACATTTCAAAATATAATAAAACTAAAACGTGTTGCGTTCTCAAATGTAACCGAACATTAACAAATAGGATGAGACGTCTACTTGCACAGTAGGAACTCAAGGGTAACATGTAATTACTCAACTTGTAAACCGACACAAATGGTCTAAGCCTCCTCTACCACTACTGGCATAGATTTGAATTTACAATGAACATATGCTAGAGACTGACATAAGCCAACTGGACATACGAAGTGATGTGACGATGACGACCACAGAGATAGTAGAGGTACCGAGCTGTTGTTGTGGAGTTATAGAAATGTGCAGTTTTGGATGGTATCAAACAGTAGTTGTGGAGGAATAAAATTGTAGTTGTGGAGGAATCAAATTGTAGTTGTGGAGTTAACAAACTGTACCATAGTGGTGGAGGTATCGAATTGTGGATGAGGAGATACCAAGCTGTAGTTGTAAAGGTGTCAAGCTCTAGCTGTGAAGGTATCAAATTGTAGTTGTGGATGCACCAAGCTGTAGTTTAGGAAGTATCAAGCTAAGCTGTAGTTTTTTAGTTATAGATCTGTAGTTTTAAAGGTATCAATATGTAGTTGTTGAAGTACTGAACTGTACTTGTAGGTATAGTTGTAGATTTTTGACGCTGTAATTGTGCATGAATCGAGTTGAAGTTGTAGAGTTATCGAACTGTAGTTGCAGATGTATCAAATTGTAGCTGTGGAGGTACAGAGCTATATAGTTGTGGAGTTTTTGAGCTTCATCTGTGGAGGTATCAAACTGTTTATTTTTTTATTTTTGAAGCTGTTATATTAGAGTTATTGAATTGTATTTGTGGAGGTATCAAGTAGTAGTTGTTGTGTAAACAAACTGTAACTGTAAAGGTAATTGTAGTTATGGAGGAATGAAATTGTATTTGTTGAGGGCTGAGGCGCCGAGCTGTAGTTATGGACTTAACAAGCTATGATTGAGGATGTATCGAATTTTAGTTGTGGTGTGGAGGTAGGTACCGAGCTGTAGTTTTGAAGGTACGGCGATATAGTTTTGGAGGTACATTGAGGTATAGTTGTAGATTTTTGAAGCTGTAATTGTGGAGATATCAGGCTGCAGTTGTGGAGGTTTCCAGCTGTAGTTGTATAAGTCCAGCTGAAGCTTCGGATGATTCAAGGTGTAGTTGAGGAGGGATCAAGCTGTAGTTGTCGAGGTATAGATGCTGCAGATGTAAATGTTTCGAGCTGTAGTTGTATAGGTTTTGAGCCGTAGTTGTCTAGGTTTTGAGCTGTAATTGTGGAAGTATCGAACTATGGTTGTGGAGGTACAAAGCTGTAGTTGTGGAGGTCCAGCTGGACCACAACTACATCCAGTTTAGGTCCAAAACTAGCTACAAACCTTCAAAACTATATTATTTAAATGTAGTACTGTAATGGATGTATCGAGCTGTAGGTGTGGAGGTATCAATCTGCAGTTGTGGAGGTACATAGCTGTAGTTATGGAGGTTTCGAGCTGTTGTTATCTAGGTATTGATCTGCAGTTTTGGAGGTATCAAATTGTACTTGTAGAGGTATCTAGCTGTAATTGTTCAGGTACCGAGCTACAGTTATGGAGTTGTGTAATTGATCTAGTTGTAGTTGTGGAGATATCGATCTGTAGTTGTGGATGCATCGAGCTGCAGTTGTAGAGGTATCAAACTGTAGTTGTAGATACATCGAGCTGCAGTTGTGGAGGTATTGAGCTACAGTTGTGGAGGAATCGAGCTGCAGTTGTGGATGTATCAAGCTGCAGTTGTGGTGTTATCGAGCTGTAGTTGTGGATGTATCAAGCTGTAGTTGTGGTGTTATCGAGCTGTAGTTGTGGATGTATCGAGCTGTAATTGTGGAGGTATCGAGCTGCAGTTGTGGATGTATCGATTCGTAGTTGTGGAGGTATCGAGCGCAGTTGTGGAGGTATCGAGTGTAGTTGTGGAGTTATTGAGCTGTAGTTGTTGAGGTCCAGGTGCAGTTGTTGAGCTATAGGACTATTTACATGGCTGTGCATAGCTTTAGTGGTGAAGGTTTGTGTCTGAAGTTGTGGAGTTATCTAATCGTAGTAGTTGAGTTTTCGAGCTTAAGTTTCATGGAGTTACATAGCTATAGTTGTATAGTAATGGGTAGTCGTTTTTTAAGAGGTTGATGACC